CTTACCCACTTAGCCACGTGGAACATTCGTCTAATTTTTTAGATTTGTAAACATTAATATTTTCTTTTGAAAAGCCCTTTCAACACGTCAAAATTGATGTTTTGGGCAATATAACATCACTTCCGGTATAAATAAATTATAAATATATACATTATTTACATAAATCATTCAGTAAATGGACATGAATATGGTTATCTACCCTTATAAAAACGAAGGCGAAACGATTGGTTTGTAAACTGTTTTCTGATTGGTTCGTAGACTGTAGCTACATTCTAGGCCAGGGCAGATAATTTGAAATCGTGGAAACCCTATGGATTAACCCAGGGTATAGTGGAGTAGAACGGAACGAGTACACTGGGTAACCGAGGATGGTGTGATAATGGCTGACACCAATATTGTCCTTTAATTGGTTTGCCTAATAAAAAGTGGCATAAGACATTTAATTGTGTCACTTTTATGATCATCCAATACCAATTGACTCTTTTACGTGCAAAATAACATGAAAAGTGACTCATGCAAAATTGCCTATTTCTCGGCAACTGCTCATATTACATACTGTTTTCGTATGGATTAATGCTACAAGTTTATGAAAGTTACGAAGAAATATTTTAAAATATGAAAAGCCTGAATGCGTTGTAAATAGCTCATTTTTACACCTGTTTTCACCTTTAAATCGAAATGGCGCATAAACAGAACCGAAATTAAAAAAAAATGAGTCCGACTTTTTTTTGCGCTTTTTGTAGGGGCATTTTGATCTTGATCTATCAGATTTGCAAATATTAACATTTCCTGGCGAAAAAACGTTCTGACTCGTCAAAATTAGAGGGTTTTTTTTTAGCAATATTGCGTCACATCTGGTGCCGATAGAAAACTTTACCGAACATAATTGATTAGAAATTACGTTTTTTCAAAAATTGAATATAAATCACTTTACATACATTCATATTACATTAATATGTGCTTTTAGAACTATTTTTGTGTATTTCAAATTTCCAAAAAATAGAGCCATACGCCCTTTAACTTACAAAACAAAGTCAATCGCTTCAAGGAACCAAACAGGCTACATGATATAGCGAGAATCAACTTTCACCGTGTTCTTTTTATCTCTTTAGGTGTTATTTAGATTCTATTGAAATGAACTAAAGATTTCTAAATTGACTTACATACTTTTTCGAATTTGTTTTATCTTCGATACTTACTAGTTTCCTGTTTAAGGTCAAAGTTTTTAAAAAGATGATGTATTTTCTCCATACTTCTCACTTTTCACTTATGTACTTCTCACTTTTCACTAATGAACTCTCCTACCGTACGTTGAGTGATTTCGTAATGGTCAAATTTCCTGCCTTTATATTTGTCTATTAATTATTTCCGGAATTGAAACACTTGACAGCCAATTAATTTCCCATGAATAATTAGCCGAGTCGATGTACAGTGTGGTACTATAATATTGGCATGTAGCAAATGAACTTTGTGTGTACTTATTCTAAATCACAAACTTTTTTTAAACTGCAGTTATCAATAAACTTCATAAAATATTTCATTCCATATTTTATTACTTGATTTATACAGTGCCGGAGTGGGGGGGGGGGCGAAGGGTTTGCGTCCGAAGGGTCTGGGGGAGTCCCCCCCCCCCCGAAAATTTTGAAAATTGACAACCGCAAACCCATTTTCCAAGCATTTCAGACTAAAGCAGAAGAAGGCAAAGTTTTGATTTCCTGATACAACTATACAGAATGATCTAAGAGCACTATCAATAGATGAATTTGAGAATTCTCTTCAGTGTCAAAAACAAAAACCTTTTATTCTCCGTGATGCAAATTATAATATACATACAGTACACGTATTTGACAGTTCTGTTGACGTACATCGCAGAATATAGCGAGAATCTTCGAACTCACAGAAGTAAACGCATATCATCATAAGCTCATGAATCTCACGAGCTTATGATGATATTTGTTTACTTCTGTGATGATAACTGATAATTGTTCTCTAAAGAAGTAACAAATTATTTCTTTAGCTTCAAGGATATTCAAGTCATCTTCAGGTCTTTTAGATTGATGGCACTAGTCAACTATAATTTTATAATGTTGTGACAAGCAGAACAGACAACCTGTACTCTCTGTAATATTCTTTATTACTATATTATTGACGGGGAAAATGTTAAATGAATCCCTCATTTGACAATTCAATCGATAATGAAATTATGCATATAATATTTTTATTGTGATGCCCAAAAATGACTCCGGAGCGGGAAGAAACTTTTTAATTCAAATTCTCCCCCTCTCCTTTCTTTTTTTCTTTTTTCTTTCTCTTTTTTTCTTTTTTCTTTATAGGCTTGGGCCCACTTTTTTTTAATGAGCTTAGGCCCACCTGTCACGGAAAGGTTAACAGGTGGGCCCAGTCTGGTACTGGATTCATATAATGCTTCTAGCATGGTTATATCATATTCAGAGGCGGATCAAGGCTTTGATGGGCCCTGACAAGCTCGACCAGCTGGGCCCTTTGCGGAACTGGGGCCTGTTTCACGAAATTTTAGCTAAGATAAAATCCAAATTTTAGTAATTTGATTTGATAATATTTTAGTGCTTAGCCAATCAAAATTAAGTATCTACTAAAATCTAGATTTTATCTTTAGTTAAGATTTCGAGAAACAGGGCCCAGTTTGTCGTAGTAAAACTAAGACCGTTGTAAGAGAAATTTCCGAGGATATACTGATGGAATAATGTCAAGCACTACAACTTAGTCAAACATTACCATGTCAGTCGGCCAGTGATGCACACTGATCAGCAGTGAATATTCGCTAGGCCGCTACAATCATTGATAAGGATGACATCAATGCGACTTAATGAGTCTCAAATATTAACTTTTTTCCTTCTGCAAATTAAATTCTAAAACATTTTTTTGATGTATTAGAAAAATAAATAAAGACGTTTAACGTATTTGTAGGTAAAAATTATTTAGTATTTAGTGTAAATGGGTATTAAACTGATTAAAAGGCAGCATTCTGCCCGAAGCAGTAACGTTTTATGTAAACAATGCATGCGCCATTCAGCCAATGATTGACGCCGCGTGCTGTGACGGCACGTGTTAAAGGCAGTCATCTTTTACAGAGATATTAGAAGACTCCTAATTATCTGAGAAACAGATTGCCAGTGATGCTCAGATGAGCACAGCAACAGCCAATTGCTGTCATCATCACTTTCAGAAATCACTCCCTCCTGGTCGGTTTGCGACTCATTATTCTCGATGATATCATTCGTATTTTCATCGACTGAGCAGTGACCCTGTTCCTGGCCGCCGAAAAACATTGTGATTTTGGGCATAGATTCGGCCGCTTTTTTCAGCATTTTCTTCATGTTTTTTTTCTGTTCTCCTTTCTAACTTCCACGCCTTTGCTCTAGTCTTGGGCCATATCAACGGCGAAACGGCCTTCGTTGAAATGACTCGGCCTTCACGTAATGAAGGAAATGCAAATTTCAAGAGAAAAACTTTTTTAAAATGACGGCGGAACCGGATACCAGGCTAATACAAGGCGAGCGAGTGACCAGTCTCCCAGTTTGAGTGATCGATCACACTAAAGCTCGGGCGCTATGGTGTCAAAGACCGTGTGGGCTTTCTTCACTCATCATAGTGAACGGCCGACACAACCGAGTGAGGTTCGCCGGAAGCGTAGTCCAGTGAATTAAATAATGTAAAACATCAAATTTAAAAAGGTCGTCAAAAATTTTATGGGCCCTATTTTTTCTTGGGCCCTAGGCAACTGCCTACTCTGCATATATGGGGTAATCCGCCCTTCCATGTACATACCTATACTAAATCTTCTCGTTATTTATGTATTTATAATCTTTATACCCGTGCATCATAATTGTATTGAATGCGTGTACATATACATGTACATGTTTATAATTGTATGCTGTCCTCCATGGATGTTTCGATACAATAAAATCTTATCTTATAAAATTCTTATCTTTTCTAACAGGCACTTACTTTGATATTTAGATTATTTTTTATAACCAATATACAAAATGTAAATTTATCACCTTAACTGGGATTTAATTAAATAAAAGTGTGTCCAATATATGTTATGGTTTAAGAGATATTTTAGGTTGTTAAACTTGTTTGGAGTTTGACAAAAATTCCCCCCTTAAAGGACAATATTGGTGTCAGTCATTATAAAATATGTGATAGAGCTCGTTAAATACATCCCAAATATAATTTGAACACAGAGATCATTGCTACGGGAGACTTGTAACAAGCACGTGAAGAAACGGGAAGTGACGTCAAACATGACAAACATGGGTTGTCCTTCTATATAACTGACTGAATTAACGAGCGGTAACAGACAAACGATCGAATTTCATTTCACTGATAATTCCGTTGAAGATGAAAAGTTGTTATATGAGACGATGAGAGGATATCTGACAATTCAAAAAAAGAATTGTATATGTTATATAGAAGGACAACTCGTGTTTGTCATGTTTGGCGTCACTTCCCGTTTCTTCACGTTAAAATTATATTTGGAATGTATTTAACCAGTTCTATCAGATATGTAATAATGACTGACACATTGTCCTTTAAGTATGTAATCAGGAATGGAATTTGTAAAAGTGGTTAATCCCATTGAATACATTTGGTTACGCGTGGCTTAAAAGACTAGAATCTACAAAATGTTCCAAACAAAATAGATGTAGACCAGACCATTAAATATTTTTAAGATTAGTTGAGAAAATAATATTGCGGTCTGATCACATGTTATAATTCATAGAGTTATTTCCCCTAAATGTTTGTTTTGTTTGAGTGAAAACGAAAAAGGTCAAATAATGAACAAAGTTAACTATTCGTATTTAGTTGTTTTAATATTTGTAAACCTACTGATCTAATTATTTGTTTTAGTTTTACAATAAGTAATAAGATGAATGTAGTTCCAAAAAATATATGAAAAATGTACGTAGTATTTTTATAAATGGAAAATCCCCAAGCTACGTATGTAGATCCGAATATTAGATCACGAAGACGAAGTTAGACGAATACTTCCGGAAGACCGACATGCGGGATTGTTTACAAATGTGATTTTACTCTTCTAAGCAAATTATTCATAATAATCTATAAATATGTTAACATCGAAAGTATTCGTGAAGAAAACAAAGAGAGGGGGGGTTCTGAAAGTTGTCCGAGAACATTATTTGCGTGATGACATAACATGTGGTTCGCAGCATTGTACAAAATGTGACCATAATGTTCAAACCGAAAACTCTGCTGACACTGACAGTGATAGTTATAATGCTGACAATTTTAAAACTCAGCCATTAGTTATTTCTCCTCCTAGTAATAGTGTACTGTGTTCTTCCTCACATTATGTCATACCTGACACAAATGTCGTACTCCATCAGGTAATTAACAGAAATTCATCTACAGGTCAGAGGGTTTTACATAACTTCCTATGGGTAGACACACTAACCGAATCAGTCGGCGTCAAAATTTGCCTAGTGTGTCCACTTTCATTCGGCTGAAAAATATTTGCTAGTGTGTCTGCTTCACCGAAGTATTTGGCCGAATCTAGAATTCATTAGCTAATCAATTATCACCACTCATCATCCACTCTGTTGAGAAGCCACATGATTGTTTGAAGACATGGTTGCTGCCATGTTTAATCATGTGATGTGAAAGGTGATGTAATCGACTAGTGAATCAGGCGAAGCATTCGCCTAGTGCAGTGATTCTCAACCAGTGTGCCGCGAGATCTTCCTAAGTGTGCCACGAAATTTTGAACGGCACACTAAGAAAATGTGAAAAAATATGTGATCCCAATTGAGTATCCACTGATAAGTTCATAGCTGTGTTTTTTTTTCATTTAGTTTTGAGTCACTTTAAGTGTCTATTCTCTGTCTATGGTTGTATGCCATCTGACTTACCATGTTTTTATTTTGCAAAATTCAGATATTTTTCATATATATTTAGCCAGGTGTGCCGCTATTTCTTCATGTGTTCCAAGGTGTGCCGTTGGCAAAAAAAGGTTGAAAACCACTGGCCTAGTGTGTCCATCCATTCGGCGCCGCTTAAAATTGTTAAAAATGTGATTTTTCTTCTTTGTCTTGACATGTTTATATGTCACAGGGGGGTGATGAATTGTTGTGTTTGAAACCAGATTTAGAAATAAAACCTATGATCCTAGAATAACCATGCCATCTGAATGGCGAATATCCTGTGCCTCTTTCCTTTATCAGGTCTGGTACAGTCCATAGATTTACCCAATACAACCCAAAACAACCTTTATTTATATTCCCTAAACTTTATTTTTTTTAATAGATTGAGAAAAAACCCAAGAAATATGTAAATGGAAGATCAAAGCAAGAAAGACAACTTGTATTGTTTAATGTTGCTATAGTAGATTTGGGTCGTTTCATCCCAAAACCATTTTATCCGGACTGTTTCATCCCAACCCCAGCATAGAGATATCTGACAATTAAACATTGGACATGTTTACTAAGTTTTACAGTAAAATATTTTGAAATAAATTTTATTAAATATTTTTTCATACTTAACACAGTGTTTAAGCTATGTTACATTGTAGGCTAATAGCCCACTATTGAATGTTGGAACGTCTAACTGAATGATTTCCATTTGTTCAGAACTATTAAAAAAAGAGTAGAAATGTGTTGTTTTCTTTAAAATACAGGTTCTTGTGGTAATTAAAGTTGTTTTGGGTAGATCTATGGCCCGTTCTGGTAGGTCAATTTACTAAAATCCACCAATATTTCAACTTATCAAAGCTCAATGGTAGCCGATGAGAAAAACTTTCACTGGAAATAATATAAGGGGGAAAGAATCTCTAGAACAGTGCCTTATTTAATCATAGCCTTATTTAAAGAGGCATTACCGGTATGTAAAATTTAGGTAAAGAGTTGGCCGTTCTCGCTGTAATAGTTCCAAAATAGATAATGCAAAATGAATATTGAAAATTTCATTCAAATTACTTTATTCTAAGTGAAGTTATCAGTTTTTGTAGTTTTAACAAGATGTGTGCATTGTTTATTATCATAACCATTGTACTTGTATATTGAGACTTAGCCTCGCTTCTCCATTTTTAAATTAAATCATTAAATGGTCAGACTGTTCTAATCTTTTTAATTTCGGAGCCATCCAATGGCTTAGAGAGTTGATTATGGTCTTGTTGATAAATGTCGTATTAGATGTAATAATTTATGTAATGTTTAAGGCCTAAAGAAAGACCTGCAATAGGCAGATTTAGCTCTTGAATAATGTATGTTTAACTTTCGAGTTTGTTGGGGGGTTGGATGGTTGAATGGTGCGCATTGTATCATAAGGTTTGTCAACTGGCATGGTTTCTATTCCCTGGTTGTACATGACAAGGAGTAGGGTCGCCTGTACAACCCCGTGGGTTTTCTCCAGGTTCTCCGGTTTTCTCTCACTGCTAAAGACCCCTATGCGCTAAACACCATTTCTCTTCCAGTTTATTTTATAGCATTAGGGAAGAGACATAACTTGTGTATGATTTTGTAAGGATCTGACCATGATTATTTATACATTACACCCTTGTTTATCAAAAATACTAACATTAGGAAGCGAGCAACAAATTATTGTTTTACTGATTGTACATCTCTATTTTTCAGATCGATGTTTTAGAAGATGAATCTTTACAAAATTTCATTATTCTTCAAACAGTCATTGATGAGGTATTTATTTATTTATTTATTTTCTACGCAGTGGAGACGTTTATCATCACATACCGTTTGTACTCCATTTTGAGTATCAAATTCAAAACCCAGTTTTCAAACACGTGTTATTTCAAGTTTAGCTGCTGTGGGTATATTTCATTGCATGAAAACCTGTCTTTTCAAATTTGCAGAGTGTGTTCATTGGGTCTTACGCAAGCATCCTATTAAAATTCAACATTTTGCAATTTCAAATTGCACAGTTTCATTTCAAATATACAAATGTTTGTGACCATAATATAGGACAAAGTCTTTGATGAAATGGTGAAAATTCAATGGGTATTTTCATTAAGATATAAGGAAGAACCCTATCAAATTTAATAACCTGGGATCAAAAATTTATGAATACATTTTTGCGATATTTTTACCAGTCATATTTTGACTATCAAACTCAAAGAAAGTTTGTGAACTTGATACAAGAATTTAATAAAGTTCTCAATGGAATTGATCATAGATTTCAAACACATCTTCAAAATATTATTTTCAGGTAAAGCATAGAAGTCTTCCAGCCAACAAAAGATTAAAAGATATATTGACAAACTCCAGTAAACACTTTTACACCTTCTGTAATGAATATAACAGGTTTGATCATATATAATATTTGGACAGTTTTTACTGCTTATTAACAGATTTTCAAATTATTACTTCCCATCAGTTGTGGAATTAGGCTGATGGTTCAAGGAATTGTGTGTGAAGGGACCTTTTGGTTTGGGGGGGGGGGTGCAAATGTCATATTTTTGTACAATTTTTGTATGCCTAAATTTGACGTGGAAGCAACTTTTGTCCTTCTATCTGTTGAACTTTTCTTGAATTTTATTTTCAAATGTATACCTTCCTTGTCCTTGTTTATGTTCATTGAATCATGATAAAAAATGTAAAACCTTCCAAATCATATAGGTTACCGCAGCCTCGTGTCCCCATTACGACATTGATTTACACCAGAAAACATCTGTATCCTGGTTGTTGTGAATATAGTTTTCCCAGTTACTTATCACTAGAAATGCCAGACAACTGAATTTAAACTCAGTTCTAGGTTGACCGGTGGCTTGGAAGAAATTTATTTATGTGAATACAGATTATGATAGAACACAATATGAACATTTGGTATTTGCACTTACAGCTATTGGTAACCAAAAATACTCCACTTCGACTCATTCTTCATGCAACTGCATGATGAAGTGTTTATTAATCTGGCACAGAAAATATGCAACATAGAAATTAACGAATGACAATCTGATAAGCTTACACCAACAAATATTTATAAATGTAAATGTTATTTTACAGTGAAACATATGTTGAGAGAGAACCAGGTGAATCTAGCAATGATAGAAATGATAGAGCCATTAGAACGGCTGCTAAATGGTACACAAATCACCTACAAGAATATGAGAAAGATATAAGTATAGTTCTGTTAACAGATGATAATGATAACAGAACCAAAGCTAAAGAAGCGGGAATCTTGTCATTTACAGGTAAGTAGGTAATAGTTAATATATTACCACATAGAATTAAATATACTCTTCAAAAAAAGTAGGGGATATTGAAATGCAAATACCTATGCAGGTTGTGATATGATAAATAGTCATGGACACTTGACATGCTTTGAGAGTATGTTCACAGATGAAGAACTTATCGCCCCAACAGAACCACTGAGCTGCACGTGGGACACGCAATAACGCCATACACGGGGGAGGGGTTCATTGCCAATGTTTGCTTTCCTATCGGTTCTTGCATAAGATTTACTGTTTAGCGTATCTTTGCTTTAGTGTGTTACGTTTAATTTGATCGGGAGACATGTTCGTCGACGTCAACGTCAACCGACAACACTGCAAGAATTGGCCGTGGCACTGCAAGAGGAGTGGGTCAGATTGCCCCAAATCGTGATTGGACGGTTGATTAGGAGCATGCCACGAGGAATTGCTGAATGTCTGAGGATTGGTGGAGCAATTACTCATTATTAAGACAAAAATCAAAAACATCCATTTTCACTTTTGACAGTGTATCGCTTTGCGAGTGAAATGGAGCCGTCAGATAAGCCGCCCATATGAACTGTTTATGGTCATGTGTAGGCAATTGGCCTGTTATTAACATACACTGGTTACCTCTAATAAAAACAGCAGTGCATTTCCGCAGTTTTGTATTGTTTCTGAATATCCCATACTTTTTTTTGAAGAGTATAGATGAGAACCACACATAAAATAACTTTAAATCTAGAAATAAATATTGAGAATCTTCGTGAAAAGTTTGAAATCTAGTCTGTATCAGTTCTGAATAAATATATTTGGTTATGTGTTCCTTTTATGAAAATTATTCTCTCATGATTTTGATAACCTATGTTATGATTGTAACATGGTCCTACAAAAAAATAAACTGACACATCTGTATAAAAAATATGATGAAACTAAACCTGTATTAATTACAGTTCATGAATATATAAAAAGTTTAAAGAATGGTGGAAATCTTATAGATAGATTAGCATGGAAATCTTCAGCTGGTGTGAGTAGTCTTCTTGACACAATTGTCTACAAATCAATTAATCTTATGCTATATTTCATGACAGATAACGGTGATTACTTTTGATAAAAATTTGAATCTGTCTTTTGTTCAAGCATCACTCAGTTGAAAATGAAATGAAAAGGGGTGTAAGATTCTACTTTTCTGCACCAAATGGGCTAATGATGATGAACATATGCCGTACAGTCTGCTAGGAGGAAATTTTTCCTGGACAGCAGTGCTACGACCTACTATTATTTTGAATTCCAACTGTCAAGAAGGGATCTTTTACATGGATGTCAACGTGTACACAGTACATTGTTCCTTATCTGGCCTTCCAACCAGGCTGCACCACTGACAAAGAATGATAATTTTTATTTTTGATATTTTAGACACAACAAGAGGGTAAGCTGATTTATCCTGAACATATAGCTACATCTGACATATTGAAAGGAGTCAAATCTGGAAAATATTTACAAGGTAGTTTTATGGCAAGCAGGGAGAATTATTTAGAAGCAAGTGTTAATGTCACAGAATCAGAAAAATTTGTAAGTATGATGGAATTTCAAAATTCAGTCTTTTGTAAAGTTTTGAAATGAGAACAATTGACAGGCATATATGACCAAAGAAAAAACACAAAACAAATTTTTATAACTCTTTGTTGCCTGAGCTTTGGTTTTGTAGTACAAAATTTGTACTGTTCAATATCATTTTTTAGGTATTAATACAAGGTCATCAGAATTTAAACAGAGCTGTACATAGTGATATTGTTGCTATAGAGATGTTACCAGAAGCTGAATGGAGTTGTCCTAGTTCTCTTGTATTAGAAGATACAGCACAAGCTGAGGATGATGCTCTAGAGGATGTAAGAACAGCTTTAATTTACAATTTTAATATTTTAACTACGGTCCCTGCAATAGAGTTTTATCAATGAAATCCCGTATTCATATTAACAGTTTGGATATAAGTGTTTTGAGATGATTTTGTCATAAGTTTAGGTTAGGATTTCATAAAGATGCCAGTTACATTTTTCTTTTCTATTTTTTTCAGGATTCAAAATTAAAAAATAAAGTTCCTGAACATTTACGCCAGCCTACAGGTCGTGTAGTTGGTATTATAAAGAGAAATTGGAGACAATACTGTGGTATACTTAAACCATCATTGTTGAAAAAGGTATTGTTTGATTGATAGTTTATTGAATTATAATGCCCCTAATAATAACTGATTCACTTAGCATAAAGTAATTTCAAAGATGAGGATTTGTAAAAGTCCAAATTGTGAGTGTTAGAGAATTCCAAATAGAAGTCTGAACAGTGTTTAGCAGTGGATTCCGTGACCTCCTGGCCCCCTATTGCTTTTATCTAAATGATATATAATGTTGTAGATTGATTTTGTTAGTTCCTGCTTTACGCCCACATTTTCATGCGGAGGTATATTGTCGTCGCCCCTGTCCGTCCGTCCACAATTTGTTTGTGGACACTCTACAGGTCATAATTTTTATGCGATTTTGACGAAACTTAAAATATAGGTCTATCTCCCAAAGATCTCGGTTCTTTTCGATATTGGCATGTATCAGACCCTAACTTCATGGATTATGACCCCTGATTTTACGAAAATCACGTTTTTAGCTTGTGGACACTCTAGAGGTCACAATTTTTATCCGATTTTGTTGAAACTTGAAATATAAGTTTATAACCCAAAGATCTCGGTTCCTTTTGATATTCGCGCATATCAGACCGTAACTTATGGCCCCTGATTGTACGAAAAATCGCATTTTTAGCTTGTGGACCCTATAGAGGTCATAATTTTTATCCAATTTAAAAAAACGTTTTAGTATATCACCAGTACACCCTAAGGGCGTCTGAGTTCGAATTTCGTGAAAATCAACCCAAAACTGACAGACAAAATGGCCGCCCTTCGTAATCAAATAGCGTAAAAATTTGGTATATCAGGGTTGTGCACCCTATAGAGGTCACAATTTTTATCCGATTTTGTTGAAACTAGAAATGTAAGTTTATAACCCAAAGATATCGGTTCTTTTCGATATTCGTGCATATCGGACGGTAACTTCCTGAATTATGGCCCCTGATTGTACGAAAAATCGTGTTTTTAGCTTGTTCTCTATCCATCTCTCGTATCCTGCCTGGCAGCCGCTGGTTTTGCTTTGGACCAAAACTGCCGGACAAAATAGCTGCCCCTTTTACGCAAATAGTGTAAAATATGGTATATCAAGGTATATTACCGTTTAGTTGGACTAAAACTGTCAGACAAAATGGCCGCCCCTTGTACGCAAATAGTGTAAACATCTGGTATATCAAGGTTGTGGACCTTCTAGAGGTCACAATTTTGATCCAATTTTGATGAAACTTGAAATGCATGTTTATAACCCAAACATCTTGGTTTCTTTTGCACATATCGGATCGTAACTTCCTGAATTATGGCCCTTGATTGTACGAAAAATCGCGTTTTGAGCTTGTGGTCCCTATAGAGGTCACAATTTTTATCCGATTAAAAAAAAAAAATGGGAATATATCACACTTATACACTAATGATGGTTGAGTTCGAATTTCATGAAAATCAGAAAAAACTGACAGACATAATGGCCGCCTTTTGTACACAAGGTTGTGGGCCCTCTAGAGGCCACAGTTTTTATCCAATTTGGATGAAATGTTAAATATATGTTTTTATCATAAAAATCTTGGTTCCTTTTGATAATCATACATATCCGAACGTAACTTTTGGGATTATGGCTCCTGATTGGTCGAAAAATCGCATTTTTAGGTTGTGAATTCTCTAGAGTTCACAATTTTTTTTCCGATTTTAAAAACCATTTAGATATATCACCATTCCACCATAATGAAGGTTGAATTGGAATTTGGGGAAAATCGAAATGAAACTGCCCAACAAAATGGCCGTTCTTTGTATGCAAATTGTGTATAAGTATGTAATACAAAGGTTATTGACCCTCTAGAGGTCACAATTTTTATCCGATTTTGATAAAACTTAAAACATATTTTTATATTCCAAAAATCTCAGTCCCTTTTGATATTTGCGCATTTCAGACCATAACTTTCTGGATTATGGCCCCTGATTGTTCAAAAAATCGTTTTTGTTTTTAGCTTTTTCTCTACCCATCTCTTGCAAGAGGTGGGCGTATCCTGCCTGGCAGCCGCTGGTTTGTTGATCCAATTAAAACATTAAGACATATGCATGTACAATTTGTCAAAGCAATGTAAATCCATCAGTAGGTTGGAGTGTCTTTTTAGTGATTGTCAACAAGATGTTACACTTTGATTTCATTCAGGGAACAAAGCATCTTTTTGTACCAGCTGAAAGAAGAATTCCTAAAATCCGTATAGAAACAAGACAAGCTGAAGATTTAGCTACCCAGAGAGTTATAGTAGCCATTGATAGTTGGCCAAGATCTTCAAGATATCCACAAGTAGGAAATTGAAGTTAATTGTTTTAACCAATCTCTAGTTGATATACTATATATACTGAAAGATACATTATGGGAGATTAGATAAAGAGCTGACAGTTCTCACTGTTATAGTTTTAACTAGGGTAAACTAGATAAAGTAAAGGGAATTTGCTGAAAAATTTCAGTCAAATTGATCCACTCTGAACAGAGATTTAGCGATTGAATTTTAGGCCTACCTTTGATCTTAATTACTAAAGTCGGTATGATAAAAAACATTATCCATTTTTATACGCCCACATGGAAATGTGCTCGTATATTGCCGTCGTCCCCGTCCGTCCCTCCGTCATCCACAATTTTTTGTGAACACTCTACAGACTACATTTATCATCTGATTGTTTTGAAATTGATATATTTTGTTAACATTAGTGAAATGAAGAAGCCTATATAATTTCAATAATTTCTGTAAATTTCTTCTGGAATTATGGCCTTTGTTGCACTTTGTTGAACCTTGTGAATGCTCTAACGACAAAAGTTTTCATCCGATCTGTATGGAATTTATATGCATCATTTAAATTAGTGAAACGAAGAAGCCTATTGAATTTCAGCAATTACGTCTAGAGTTATGGCCCTTGTTTCACTTTGTTATCACCCGATCTGTATAGAATTTATATGCATCATTTAAATGAGTGAAATTTCCGTTAGTTACTTCTAGCGTTATGGCCCGTGTTTTACTTTGTTGAACCTTGTGAACGCTCTAACAACAAAAGTTATTATCCGATCTGTATGAAATGTATGTGCATCATTTAGATTAGTGCAACGAAGAAGCCTATTGAATTTCAGCAATTTCCTTTAATTTCTTCTAGAGTTATGGCTCTTGTTTCACTTTATTGAACCTTGTTAACGCTCTAACAACAAAAGTTATTATCCGATCTGTATGAAATTTATATGCATCATTTAGATTAGTAAAACAAAAAAATATATTGAATTTCATTAATTACGTCTAGAGTTATCACCCTTGTTTAACTTTGTTTAACCTTGTAAACATTTGAAGGATGAAAGTTATCATCTGATCTGTACGAAATTTATATGCATCATTTAAATGAGTGGAACGAAGAATCCTATTGAATTTCAGCATTTTCAAATAATTACTTGTAGAGTTATGGCCCTTATGAATGCTCGAATGATGAAAGTTATCATCCGATCTGTATGAAATTTAAATGTCCCCAATTATCTACAAAAGAATAAATGTGCGACAACCCTTGTCGACCGCTCAGACGATTTAGTTGCTGTGGGCATATGTTTCGTTGCCTGGCTACCTATCTTTTTATTTAATCATCCATGATAGTTGAGCAGCAGATCGAATTTTAATGAAATGAAATGAAATGGGGTTTAACGTCCTACTAGATCGAATTTTAATCCAGTCAATATCGTGGGCTAGCGATGACATCGAGAGTTGATAATGATCTGGACAAGTAAATTAATGTCTATAATTAATAATTTAGATAACATTTCAGGCCTAAAGAAAGACCTGCAATAGGCAGATTTAGCTCTTGCATAATGTATGTTTAATATACAGAATATTTACAATAGAATTTGAAAAGAATTAACAAAACAAATTGCTTGAAACACCTTTGTAAATTAATTGACAAAACTGTGTAAAAAAAAAAGAAAACACTAAACTAGAAGAAAATTTCAAATGGCCATAACAAATTTCAAAAATCATGAATTGTATTTTTGTAGGGTCATTTTGTACGTAAGTTAGGAAATATAGGTGATAAAGGAGCTGAGAATGAAGTATTATTATTAGAACATGATGTACCACATCAAGTATTTTCTGAAAAAGTTTTAAGTTTCTTACCAAAAATGCCATGGTCTATTACAGAAGAGGTATGTTACAACAGTATATTATTTTTTAAAGTATGCTGTTTATTTGGATGTTTTTCCTTTGTAGCAGTTTTTTAAATTAATAGTAGACCATAGATCGAATCTATGCCAAACTATGACTGTCTCTGCCAATTTGAACTAAACTAGATAAGTATCAATAATTTTCCAATGTCACTGCAGACAAAAATATTTTTGTGACAATAAATACATTGTAACCTTTTTTTTGACCCCTTTGAAGTGGAATGTAAATGTAGTAGATAATTTATTTATGTTTCAGGATATGAAACATAGAAAAGATTTACGTGATATAGTTGTATGTAGTGTTGATCCACCTGGATGTACAGATATTGACGATGCTTTACATTGTCGTTTGTTAGATAACGGAAATTATGAGGTAAGTTTGTAAAGAAATAGTATTTTATGACTGATTTCATCCTTACAAAATACTAAAACTGAAACAAAAGAAAAGTAAAAGACACAGAGACATGTTTTAAGAAAGGTTTTAAGATTCCTGATTTACTTCTAGATGTGACTGTAGCAGTTTTCTGAATTCTAGAAACTATTGTTTTTATTTTGTTACAGGTTGGAGTACATATAGCAGATGTGTCCCATTTTATAAGACCTGGTACAGCATTAGATGAAGAAGCTGCTAATAGAGGAACTACTGTTTACTTAACAGATAAGGTATTGTATTCATGTCCTTTAATATAAAATAATTGATTAGATCAAAACAAATAAAACAGTGTTCAGGAATGTCGAGAGGTATAATCATTCCTTTCTCTCTTGTAAACTATATTGACTTATTCAATTCTCTATCCAAATTACCAAGGAAAAGTAAGATAGGTTATGATTATAGTTGGTTGTTTTATTTTTTAGAGAATTGATATGGTACCAGAATTATTAAGTTCCAATTTATGTTCCCTGAGATGTGATGTAGAAAGGTGAGAAAATACTTTGTTATGTATTTAAGTTCTGGACTGAGGAAAATTGTAAAACTTTTAAAGAATTTTAAATGTAAAGCTATTTAAAGTTTCACACTGTTTAGCTTGATCAATGGTTATTTTTTTTTTTAAACTTCTGCCAACAGTTTCATTTGTGCCAGAAGTGAAGTAAGTCAATGGTTAAAGGGCACTGGTCAAACACGTCGCAGGTCTAATTATTTCTATTTCTACTTGGATATCTGAAACTTGTACCGCATGCAAATTCTATACATTGTGCAACAAAACCATACTAGAGTGTTTAATTGATCACATGCCTAAGCGACATATACTGCTTCCCTCATAAAACGGGTGACAGCCACTGCTTGTCCCATAAAGCATAGGGTGACAGATACTATTACACTTAAAATAGGGGGTGAAAGAGACTATTACACTTAATACAGGGGGTGAAAGATACTATTACACTTAAAACAGGGGGTGAAAGATACTATTACACTTAAAACAGGGTGAATTTCACTGGTGAAAGATACTGCTTCTCTCACAAAACAGATGTGATAGATACTGCTTCTTTCATAAAACAGACGTGACAGATACCACTTCCCCCATAGAGTCTGAGGGGTGGGTGACAGATACTGCTTCCCCAATAATGCCGGGGATGACACAGCGGTTGCTGGAACTTGGAAACTTGCTATTCCCTTTAATTTTTGCTTGTCAAATTATTATATTAATGCACTGGAATATGATGACTTTCCAATTCAACCTTTCCAAAATTTTCTTTATAGATTAGCTTTTACTGTTATATGGGAGATGACAGAAAATGCTAAAATACTCAACACCACTTTCACAAAGAGTGTTATTAATTCCAAGGTAGGAAATGATAATTCACTTGAATAGCTGTTAGTTTATGTGTATAGAACTACTCTGATTCACATCTAAAGTAGAACATAAAAACTGTAGTGCAACATAATAAATAAAATGATTGTGATGCATGTATATAAAAAAACTTAATCTGATATTAACAAAAAAATGCTATGCAACTCAGGCATAGATATGAATATTGTAGCATACAACAATAATATATGTATGCCGTAAAAGTTCCCTTATTCCTAGCAATTACATACAGCTAATTTTGATGTTTCCCTAGAATTCATTTATTTTATGTTTCAGGCATCTTTGATGTACAGTGAAGCTCAAGCTAGAATAGATGATATAACAATGAATGATGAATTAACACTTAGTTTAAGAGGATTAAATAAATTAGCTAAATTATTAAAACAAAGTAGAATAGATGCTGGGTTGGTATTATTTTTTTTCTTAATGTTTATTTGTAAAACAAGGTGAAGGTTGTGGGAATTGACTGTTATCTATGCAAGGGATGGATTTAGTCTCAGCCTTGTAAGATAGGTTGCCTCCCACTTCTATAGACAATTATTGAAATAAAAATTTACAAAATGTTAAGTCTCAAAATAGTATAGTTAGTGATAAGTGTCTATTTCTTTCTTTATTCTTTGTTACCAAACAAATGTTTCTGCAAACAGGGTACTGTCATGATTTTCAAACATATACCTTTCCTGAACTTATTGGTGCTTTTTACTGGACAATCACATTATAATGATATATCTTCATTTCAGTGCTTTATGTTTAGCATCAACAGAAGTCCGATTTCAAGTCGACAGTGAAACAGCAGATCCCATTGATGTACAAACTAAAAAATTACTGTAAGTTTTATATCCACTATATCTTATTCGATATAAGAGCTTATAGGGTATGGCAATGGATGATATGTGTGTTTGTATTGTTCCTATTTCAGAAGGTCTTTTTTGTCTTCATCTTGGCAGATGAGAGGAAGAAATAATCCATGCTTTATAACATATTTTGAATGTTGATGCTAAAATTACCTTTCTTCTCTTTGATTGAAAGAAAACTTATTTTTCTTACTCTTTGTAAACACTGAACATTCAATAAAATCTTGTATTCCATGGTATGTACACATATTTATTTATTCCACAGAGAAACCAACTCTATGGTAGAAGAATTCATGTTGTTAGCCAACATTTCAGTTGCTAAAAAGATATTAGAAGAATTTCCTAATTGTGCTTTATTACGTCGTCATCCTTCCCCACCACCATCTAATTTTGAACCTGTCATTAAAGCTGCGTCATCTAAGGTAAGCTTAACAAATTATTCAGCTATAATCTATGTTTTTCTTGTTTTTTCAACTGTTGAAATATCTACATGAAAATAATTATCAGTGTTACATATTTATGTTTTCAATGATATTATTGTAATTGCTGTCATTTAAAGACATATGCAAAAGCAACACAATCTTTATAATGTTATCTGAGATATTATGTAAATTTACTATATCTCTGATACTTCCACACGAACTGTCAGCTACCTCCATATGTTTAGTTAATATTTTAATTAATATAAGAAATAGGAGTGGCTATGAAGACCTGGTTATCCCGGGTGGCAGTGACTAGTTTCATTCATATTGAACTCTTCAGACTGATTGGACTCCCGTGGCGAGCGGTTTTATTTATACTATTCCAAAACCCAATCGGGTGCCATGTTGAAATACACAATATTTAACGTTTTAAAAACCTAACCACTTTATGGAATCAACAACAAATCTAAACTTGGGCACTCCAACCATTTTTATTTTTGTTTTTATAATATTTTAATTAAAGAACCTCATTTTTCTGATAAAAAAATCAATCAAAATTAATGTAAAAAATCTGTAAATAGGCGAACAGCCTTCCCAGATTTCTCTCAGCTACTAGTTTCGTTCTTATTCGAACTCTTCAGGCTTAAATGAGGATGTGCGGTGGCCCTCTATATATAGTGTCGGGGGGCACCGGAGCACATGTGATGTCACAGATGGACCGGAGTCGATCTTTGGCACTGGAGTCGATTATTCCGAAAAGTGTGCAAAGATATTCGGCTAAGAATTTGCCATCATGATTATGGTTATTTGCATTGACTCAAGGCTCCTAACCCTTTTGATCTCTAAGTTTAAAGTTTCCTAAACTAACGAGGGCTTAAAAATAACTCTATTAGGTTATGGGCATGTATGCACTAATTTTTTATTATTAGCTTTCACCGTAGGGGTACCACAGCTAAATTAATTGGGAACTCGTCCTTGTTTTTCATATTCGGCCTTGAATTAGGCTAAGAACTATGCTACTATTTCGCATACTTTGAAAAGTGGCTCTAGGAAAATATTTCTTGAATTCAACAGGGAGCTCACGAGGTTGTTTTTGCATTTCTCAATTGAAATGTTGTAAAAATACCCAGTCTTCTTTACTGATGTTTGATTCTGCCAAGTCATCGCGATACGCTGATGAAAGCAAAATTCATCTATTCAGCGGAGTCACGTTTCAAAATCTATTCGAAAAATGTATCAAGAAGGACTGTGATATCTGCTACAAATTAGACCAAAATAACTACTCTATTAGTGGTAAAACTGGCAAGAAATATTCCTGCCGCACGGGCTATAATTGTTTAAGTAGAAATATAGTCTACCTATTAACATGCTCCTCCAAAATACAATACGTACATAGGAAAAAGCAAACGTGTCTTTTCAATACGAATAAACGAACACTATGCAGCTATTAGACACAACAGGCCAAAGCCGGTCGCACTACACTTCAACTTAGATAGACATACGAGTAGAAATGTTATGATAAAAATTATAGAGCATTTTTAAGACTGACCCAGATAACGGCAAAAACGATGCCGTAAGGAAAGCCAATGAATTCAAATGGATTCACACTTTAAGAACATTCGCACCGGATGGCATTAACGATAAGATGTAGTCCCAAGGTGTCCCCCACTTTATTGTTTACTCAAAATTAATGTATGTATGTAAAATGCTTACTATTTCATACACCCTAGTTCTATTGGTAAGATGCCAGCTTTATCCTTTGATCTTACTGACAGATATATTAATCTATAGCCAATCACACAGTCTGTCTTTTAGAACTTCTTTGAGTGACTAAAAGAACAGTCAGTAACAAGAAAAAAAAAAAAATAATGTTAAGTTAGACAGATGTCATGAGATTATGCAGAGATTTCAAAAATTTCTGATCTATAAGTTAGGCAGACATGTTATGAGCTTGTGCAGAGATTTCAATAATTTCTGCTCTATATTCTCATATTTCTGATACCTTTGTCAAATTTATCATGCACCATAAAGTTATCAAAATAAAATTGTGTAAATTTCCTCTATTTACAGGGTTTTATTATGGATTGCTCATCTAATAAGAATCTGGCTGAAAGTTTAAATAAAGCAGAGTTTGATGAGAATCCATATTTTAATACAATGTTACGAATTATGACAACTCGTTGTATGATGCAAGCTGTATATTTTTGTAGTGGTATGCTACCAGAGTCGGAATATGTTCATTATGGTCTAGCAGCTGCCATCTATACACATTTTACATCACCAATTAGAAGGTAAGCACTAGATTCTTTAACTTGACAAGCAATATTCATTTCGTCATCATTTTACTCATTTTAGAGGAAATGTGAAAAATTAGATTATAGTATGGATGAAGTAATAGATGCTTTATTATATGATATATTATTTTTTTTATCACAAATCACAACTCAAGTTCAGGAAAAAATTTGGAGAGTGACCATGTCTACCTAATTCCCTCAAGTTTGTTGGATCGGTTTTGTTTGTGTGTAGTTCGATCCTTCTGCACTTACTATTGCAATAGTTTGGTTCTTGTTTGGGTATTGAAATATACACTATAAAGTGATGGAATTAAATTTATTTTTTACCACTCTTCCATTCAAGAAGTCATTGGATTATATTTTAGTGTATTAAACTGGTGAATTTTGTGTGAAAGGCTCTTGTAACCCCCTTTTCTAGTGCTGTGCAACTATCCAAAACTTTGGGATATTTTTTCTTGAAGAAGTACAAACTTTCAGTTTATTTGTGGGGTTGGCCAATTGTCTTGAAATTCCAGACTAGATAGGTTGATGGATAACAATGTTTACATATTTACAAAGTCATTTTTAATGTTACATCTATCAAATTTCAGATATTCTGATATTATTGTTCATCGTTTGCTAGCTGTATGTATTGGAGCAGATGCTTCATATCCTGATTTACTGGAAAAAAAGAAAACTCAGGTACGCATTTACATGTAGTTTATACTTTAAAAAAATAAGATTATACAATACATTTGTTTAGATATTGTTATGTATACCTGATGTATAAAATATATTTAAATTTTTCCTTTATTATAGAGTTTATGTAATAACTTAAACTACAGACATAAGATGGCCCAGTATGCTGGAAGAGCTTCTGTCAATCTTCACACACATGTAAGTATTTTAAATATTGTAAATTCATCTAATGATGTCAGAATTATAGGTGTTAAAGGAACTAAACCACTTTGAGCAAAGTGTTGAATTTAGTTGATCAAATGTGTGATTTCAATTAGTGATAGGACAATATTTATATGATTAAATATCAACTGTTGAACATGGACTCAGTTATATGTCAAACTTGACTTGATCTGTAGACTTTATTGTTTAAATGTAAACAAATAACAAAAACCTAACATCTCCCATCAAAATTGATTAAACTGATGCCTTGTTATTTGAACAAATCAAATAGTTTACAGGCATTTAAGTCAGAATATAACTATGCTGTGATAACATTGTAGTTGATTTACACGCATTGTACCTTGGATAAATGCTATCCTATTATATTGAAAAGATGCACAATAAGTATTTCAATACAAATTTTTAATCTTTTATATGTATCCATACTTTTTTTTTATGACTACAGTGTATCGTATCGACTATACTTTTTTTTGTTAACCATTTATGGTGTAGATGTTGATTGCTGTTTGATTTGTAATACATGTATGTTGGATTTATTGCCAGTTATTCTTTAAAACACGAGTACAAGATGAAGATGGTTATGTGTTATTTGTTAGAAAGAATGCTCTACAAGTATTAATACCTAAATATGGTCTGGAAGGTACATTATATTTAAATGAGAATAAGAAATCACCAACGCAGTTCTTTTACAATGAGGAAGTAAGTATTAAATCATTATGACCATTTTACTCAGGTTTAAATTCTTATATGTGTGGATAAAATAATCTTTAGCTACTGGTATGTCTAATTGCTCCATGTGTGTTGATGAACTAGTTACTTCTTAAATTTTTTCTAACATAAAGATTTATTACATGTACAATGTTAAACAATATTTGTAACCTTTTCCATATAATTTTCATGTTGAGGAAGGGGAAGTCAGAAATTTACTCGTTTAAAAGAGTGCAGAAGAACTAATCTGAAAACTACAAATCATGTGACACCTAGTTTTATTGACCATTCTAAATTCATTTGTAATAGTAAAACAATCTAATTTTTATATCCCAGAGATTAATCTTTGATGTAAAAAAGAGCTAAATCTGCCTATTGCAGGTCATTCTTTAGGCCTGAAATGTTATCTAAATTATTAATTAGACATTAATTAACTTATCTAGACCATAGCCTGCAATATTTATCAGATTGGAATAAATTTTTTTAAAATAATTAGACATAAAAATGGATAATGGAGACTTTTTTTTTATCGTACCGACTTCAGTAATGATGACCGAGGCTAGCCTAAAGTTCAAAAGCTAATATCTCGGTTCAGAGTGGAACAATTTTCAGCATATTCTATTTATGTTATCTATTTTTTAACTATTATAGCGAGAACTGTGAAGTCTTAATCTAATCCCCCATAATGCCCCTTTAAATCACATTTATCTATAACATCCATATTTTGCATGCTACATTGATTTTACCATGCTCTATCATAACAATAACAAATTATGGCTGGGTGGACTAGAATCAGGAAACAAGGAATCAACACAAGCTTTGATCAAATGTGCAAACATGTAGCAACAGATCTAGCTTGCAAATATATTCCATATTCTTTGAAAAAAAAGTATTATCCAGATGTACAAACATTTTTCAAAAACCATCATTAAAACTACCCATTTATAGTTAATGTGCATATACTATAACTTAATTTTCATAGTCTAGTCATTATTTTGTAGCAAGATACACAGACAGCTGGTGATGTGGTGTTTCATGTATTTGATCATGTTATAATACAACTGAGTATAGACAGATCTAATGTACAACATTTAAAACTAGCAATTAACTTAGTTAAACCACAGGTACTACTTTCTTTTCATACTTTTTTTTCGGAATGATCCTCTAGAAAGACTAAAATTGACTTAACTTGTAATAAATTAAAGAGGCATTATCGCTTTCATATTAAAATAAGCCCAAACCTCACTAAAATCCAAGCACTTGCCCAATCAGAGCAATGCCTGTCCTGAACTCTCTGAAAACCACTATAGGTTAAAATATGTGTGATACATAATGAATCTTAAGACATCTATTTCATAGAGATGGATTGGTAGATTTGTCTCCAATTTTGCATACAATTTAATATATAACATTGTACATGCTAATTGGTGACATTAGTGGTTGATAGTATTAATCTGAACATCAATATCTGATTTTGATTTCTATTCAGTTTATCAAAAATCTGTTTTCACAAGATAGATATGTTCCTTTAGTGGACTGCAGCATAATCACTGTTCCATCTGTTAATGGAATTTCAAAAATTTGATAAATTAAATGTAATTCTGTGTTACAGATTCCAGGGTTTAGTGTACCCCCTGCTTCACAAGTACACAGTGAAAAAGAAGAGGTGGGACCACCATCTAAGAAAGTCAGAAAATAGTTTATTACATTTGGTAACATGATAAGTTCAGGGTTTAGCTAAAAAAAAAAAGGTGATAATTGAAGAAAATATTGAATTTTAGTACCATAATCTGTAAATAAACCCTTGAATATTAATTTTCATTCTAAACCTCTTGTAAGTATCATTAGAAATCAACAGCTTAAATAAACAATCTGAATAATACACTTTCAGAGCTGAGTCAAAATATGCTTTATTCGTATATTTATGGATATTTGACATCTAGAAAGAATAAAAATACAAATATTTACTTATAGTTTTTGTTCTTCTTTTTTTTTGTGTGAAATGAATTAATTGAACAATGGTCTGTGACATGACGCTGAATTGTCAGGTAGAACTATTAAATATTCCTTTTTTGGACAGAATAGCTGTTTAAACTCTCAAATTTCTTACTGATAAAATAGTTATTATTTATAGCATTTTAGTTTTTATACGCCCAGGCCTGGAAATAACGGTTTTAGATGTACCTGACAAAATGACAGGCACTAATGACATTTCCACCTTAGTGCCGGACATGAATTAATAATATCAATAAAAAAGACAAATCAGTGCCGGACAAAATGACAGGCACCACAGAGGTTTTGTGCCTGACAAAGCCTGAATCTGTGCCTGACATTGTCTGTGACAGGTGCCTTATTTCCAGGCTTGTATACGCCCACATGGAACTGTGCACGTATATTGCTCTCGCCCCAGTCCATCGGTTCGTTGGTCGACCACAATTTCTTGTGAACGCTCTAACTCCAAAAGTTATTATCTGATTGTTTTAAAATTGATATATGTGGTTTACATTAGTGAGATGAAGAAGCCTATTTAATTTCAATAATTTCTGTTTATTACGTCTAGAGTTATGGCCCTTGTTTCCACCCTGTGGTCAAATAACCGGTTGTACCTGAGTAGGAAGGAGTAGGGTCGCCTGTCGAACCTTGTGGGTTTTCTCCGAGTCCTCCGGTTTCCTCCCACTGCTAAAGACCCCTACACGCAAGCGAATTATTTAAATAAAATTAAACCATATGTTAGTCCCGAAATGACCTAGAAATGACCTAGTTTGTGTGGAGTGGACTTAAACCCCCACTCTCTCTCTCTCTCTCTCTCTCTCTCTCTCACTCACTCACTCACTCTCTCTCAACCTTGTGATCTGATCTTTGTGAAATTCATATGCATTAATTAGATTAGTGAAACGAAGAAGCCTATTGAATTTCAGCAATTTCCGTTTATTTCGTCTAGAGTTATGGCCCATGTTTCACGTTATTGAACCTTGTGAATGCTATTACGCCAAAAGTTATCATCTGATCTTTGTATAATTCATATGCATTATTTAAATTAGTGAAACGAAGAATCCTATTGAATTTCAGCAATTTCCGTTTACTTCGTCTAGAGTTATGGCCCTTGTTTCACTTATTGAACCTTGTGAACGCTCTAACGCCAAAAGTTATCACCCAATCTGTGTGAAATTTATATGCATGATTTAAATTAGTGATACGAAGAAGCCTATTGAATTTCAGCAATTTCCGTCAATTATGGCCCTTGTTAATGCTCGATTGATGAAAGTTATCATTCGATATGTATGAAATTTATATGTATCATTTAAATTTGTGAAACAGAGGTCTATTAAATTTCAGTCAGTAATCTCTAGAGTTATGGCCCTTGTTTTACTTTGTGAACATTGTGAACATTTGAATGACAAAAGTGATCATCCGATCTGTATGAAATTTATATGCATTATTTAAATTAGTAAAACAATTTCTTTAAACTAATTCCATAGTTGAAGCCCTTGTTTCAGTTTGTAGAATCTTGTCAACCCTCTAACACAAAAATTATAATTTGATCTGTATGGAACTGTCTTGTAAAGGCCCCCAATTACCTACAAAGAAATAAATATGTGATAACCCTTGTGACGTCGGACGATTTAGCTGCTGTGGGAAAACGGCATTAGAATGCACCCCCCCACACACACACACACCACATACACACAGTATCAGTGAATAAAGATTAATAAACATGAATTGTCAGGTAGGATGGGGATAGAGATAAGACCCACAAAAGTTATTATAAAATATATGTTTTTGTGCATCGAGCCAAAGGACTTATTCGGTCATTCTGTTCGCCCTCTATTTGATGGTTGTTTATGTATAGTCAAATTTAAAAGTCATCCAACTGTTCTTTAGTAGGTGATTTTAAAAATTGACAATGTTTATCCTTACAAGTGCCCATATCTGCTCCTTGTTACATAAGTTCTTCATACGAACACATCAAAATCCCCAAAACCTGTACTACTTACATGAAATTTGGTCGAAATCCCATTAGCGGTTCGAAAAAAGAAGTTGAATCAACTTCAGTAGGCTACAATATCTGTAATACTATAGGGATTATTTTAGTTCCAAGAAAGGTGTTCTGTTTAATATAGAAATTCGTTACCTGCAAGTGTGACGAAAACTATCTTAATGAAGTAGCTTGCATTATTCTACTACTTTCTTAGAATAACTCACCGACAGTTATGTCAGTATCCATTTCTGGAAGGAGGTTACTATCGTCCAGTCATCTTGTGCACAGATTAGTACAATTAAGTAGAATAATGATGACATAAAACCGTGCTCATACGAAACACTTAACCAAAAATGGTAATTGTCCCGCCCTAATAGCTGACGCATCAGTACTTTCTATATAAGAGCGAGTGTGGTTTAATTTCCTTTCAGACATCATAGAGTCGTCTGAGAGGGGACCATCATAGCCTCTCGACTTAGAGGCTAGGATGAAAATATCATCCTAGCGCGAACATAAGGATGTTAAACTCAGACCGTGGATATTTTAATAACTCCTAAAGTATCTATAAAATACTAAACAGCAACACTAAACGATTTCAAAATCAGAGAGGCACTTTAATGAAATCCTTCTAGAAAACGACTTACTAAATGGATCAAAGCATTTTTTTGTGAACAGTATGTGAACATTACTGTCTGAACCATCCTAAAATTTAAACGGATTTCTTCGATTATGAACAAGCTACTTAACTTTGGTTATTATAAACTTACCTGTGTTTTTGAAATCAACCCCCGTTCAATAAAATCCATTGCACAACTAAATATCCCAACGAATAAAAAAGTTCTCTCTTGACAAATTTGACTATTTACTTGTAATTTCGAATGAGTGGAATTCAACAATGCTTTCGTCACGTTTTGGGGGAAACCAATGCAGCTGTTGCGGGGGTGGTTTAATTTTGACAGATAGTTTGACAACCAGTTGTTGCAATGAAAACAAATCCCGATTATTGCGATCGTTTGAGTTTGGGCGACGAAAAACATCAACTGAAGGCAATAATATAGGAGATTTATATTCTTCAAAAAAAAGTAGGGAATATTCAGAAACGATACAGAACTGCGGAAATGCACTGCTGTTTTCATTAGAGGTAACCAGTGTATGTTAATCACAGGCCAATTGCCTACACATGACCATAAACAGTTCATATGGGCAGCTTATCTGAAGGCACCATTTCACTCGCAAAGAGATACACTGTCAAAAGTGAAAATGGACGTTTTTGATTTTTTTCTTTTAAGAGTAATTGCTCCACCAATCCTCAGACATTCAGCAGTTCGTCGTGGCATGCTCCTAATCAACCGTCCAATCACGATTTGGGTCAATCTGACCCACTCCTCTTGCAGTGCCACGGCCAATTCTTGCAGGGTTGACGTTGACGTCGACGAACAGGTTTCTCGATCAAATTAAACGTAACACACTAAAGCAAAGGTACGATAAATAGTAAATCTTATGCAAGAACCGATAGAAACGTAAACATGGATAGGATAAACCAGCACGCGACAGTTTTCATCAACCCTTCCATGAAGTGTCAAATTTGACAATGACCCCCCCCCCCCCCCCATGTGTCTGGCGCTATTGCGTGTCGCACATGCAGCTCAGTGGTTCTGTTGGGGCGATAAGTTCTTCATCTGTGAACATACTCTCAAAGCATGCCAAGTGTCCATGACTATTTATCATATCACAACCTGCATAGTTATTTGCAATTGAATATCCCCTACTTTTTTTGAAGAGTATATATTGAAACCTTTGATCGCCAGTCTATCAAATTTTATTCACAATGAAAAAACACTGATTGCACGGATACTCGTAAAAATATAGTCATATATAAACTAAAAATATCCTATCTTCTTTATGTTATAAATAATTTAACAAGGATCATGAAGCTTACCTCCGAATTCTCCGAGTGTATTGTTAATTTGATGGCATTCTTTCGTTCAAATAATAACCGCTTCAAATAATTAAAACAAAATATTTCGAAAGGTAAAGTTATAAATTTGCAGAGATTTTACTAGAATGTAAAAGACGGTAACAAAATAAAAGATACGGACAGTTATGTGTGTGAACGCTCAAACTCAATGCCGAGACGAAACTTAAATTATAGCTTATTCTTAAACCAGACTTGAATTGACGTAAAAGTACCGAAAACCGTTTTGATTTGCTATTCTGTCACCCCTTATACGAAATGATATCTCCCGAAGAGTGACATAATCATCTTCCATATTGGTAATTTTGGGTGTCAAAAGTTTGTGCGATTTCAATTTTTCAAGAGAACTTTTTTATTCGTTGGGATAATTAGTTGTGCAATCGATTTTATTTAACGGGATTTGATTTCAAACACACATGAATTTATAATAACCTGAGTTATGTAGTGTGTTCATAATCGAAGAAATCCGTTTAAACTTTACGATGGTTCAGACAGTAGTGATTAATTCATCACAATTCCAAGACATTACGAGAAGGTTTAGGGTCTGTACACAGTCTATACATCAGTATCTGGTGTGTCCACCGCGAATGTTAATGACAGCAGCGCAGCGTCTGTACATGGAGTGGACCAGAGGATTGATGAACGCCATTGGCACCTGGAACCACACCCTCAGAAATGTCTGGCGCAATCGATCGGCTGTGTTTGATCTCGGTACGACGTTATTAAGTGTCCTCTGAATTTCATCCCAAAGATGTTCAATCGGGTTTAAGTCCGGACTAAGGGCTGGCCAGTGCATAACGTTGAGACCGTTCTGCTGTAGAAAGTCCCGAGTAACTCTGGCGGTGTGGGCACGGGCGTTGTCATGCTGGAAAACGTTGTTTCGATGACGTGCGAAATGTGGTATGACGTGGGGTCTGAGAGCTTGATCGATGTAGCGCACTGCTGTGATGCCGCCTCCTCTCCCTAGACCAAGATTTTGGAACACCACAGGGCCCACTATCTGGTTCAGGCCGATTCCACCCCAAATCATTATGCTTGGACCTCCCCATGAGTCTCGTTCCATGACACATTGGTCAAAATAACCCTGGTGACGTCGACGCCATATTCTGGTCCTGCCATCTGCAGTTGATACGCAATACCGACTCTCATCTGTGAACAGAACAGTTCTCCACTGCCTGTTGTTGGGCAAACTGTAGACGTTCACGTCGATGGCGAGGGGTGAGGATCGGTCCACGGTAAGGTCTACGGGAATGGATGTTCTTTCTGGTGAGACGTCGGCGTACTGATGGGTCTTCTGACGTGCTGTCTCAGATGCCTGTGTGAAGGGATTCTGCACGTACAGTCGCACAACATGGCAGTTTTGTCGCCTTGTGGTAACCCTTGGTCTAGCAGTTCGGGGGCGATCACCCGTGGTGTTGGTGGCCCGAAAGCGTTGCTGAAGCCTGTAGATGGTCCGACCATTGACCTGGAAGTGATTGGCAACGGCTTGGGCAGTGTGGTCAGCTTCGAGTCTTCCAAGCGCCTGGTTCCTCTGAGCTGTCGTGAGTTGTGGCAGGCTGCTGACGTTTTAGCGTGAATGATTCAACCAGGTATGGGGTGCATTTTATAGGGCTGGTCCCGGTGAACAGCACGTGCAGCATGAGTTACATAAAAATCATGGATAACACATTACCATCTCAGAAGTCAGGTTGCGTTTTTGAGAACATTCCCTAGGTTCAATTCTGTGTTTGGGAAGGAGCCTTATTGCTCAGGTAAAGTTGGAGATGTGGTCACAAGTAACATACCAACCCGACGTTTCTTTTGCTGCTTAGTATAGATGTTGTAGTTTTCCTGTATTTAACCTTTTAGTTTACTGTATTTGTTATATAAACTTAGTAACAACATAAACGGTGTTCCAGGGTCAGTTAACTGATGATTGAAATAATTGATCCCACAACGTGAAGTCAAAGAAAATCCTAGACAATAGTGTTACAGCTAATTTGTATTTGGTGCCGTGACCAAGATAGGCACCTCTGTCCCCGTAGTGCCACACTTAATTCCTTATTTAGTGCCGTGATAACAGGATGTAGATCCTAGAGCAAAACATTAGAAGAATACGAAGTTTCCAGTCGTTTTTAGGTAGGTACACATTTACTAGTAAACTGACCATGGAAAGCCAAACAGACCAAGGGGTAGATTTAATGAAATTTTAGAGGTTAGGGAATTGCTAAATATAGAGTTTAAACAGGACGTAACTTAAAATGTTAAAATAATTAAATTAAGAAAATCTGTAAATGAGGGAAGCAAATAAGGTTTAGGTTTTAACATGGGTAATTTTCTGTAAACATAGGAATATATAAGAATCCTAAAATTGAAACGGTAAAACTAAGCAGAAGGAAAAAATGATGTACCTGGTCTAAGGTTAGATCGTAATAATGCAATAATGATGTGAAAACATCATCACAGCGCGAACATCATGTAGAACTATCAAGAGGTATGTGGCTCTTGCCACGTTTCAGCCGTCTAATAGATGGAGATCCAGAAATGAAATGGGGTTTAAAGCTTCTTGCTTTAATGTCCTTCATTTCTTCACTAGCCAGGCTAATGAAGCCGGCCTGCAAAAACACTGTCAATGGGAAACCATGCTGGAAAATCCTGAGGAACTTTCTCGGCTAACTTCGGAATGGAACCTGGGACCTCATAGTTACTGAGCTAACGCCGTTCTCACTTAGCCACTTGAAGATAGCATTAGCCTGTTCTTTCTTTGGAAAACATGATCAACTGTTGTCTGTATCCAGTAGTATGCTCTAGAGTAATCTCCCTTTTAAAACAATATGTCAGCCCCCTGTAGCAACTTTAAAACCACAACAAAACATTGTAAATGTTTCTGAATTTTACTTTAATTTGAAATCTGCATTGTATGTGTTATTTATTTTTTGTGTTTTATTGACTACGATAGGTTTAGTCCTTGTTGAGAGCTGAACCGATGTTCAACAGATAGACATTTATAAAAGAGATTATTAATTATTATGAATTAAATGAAAAAACACCAAGAAACAAGACTGGTTTTCCTACACAATACAGATAAACCTGTAATAAATCTATTCTAAATTTGCACCAACCTCTGAACCAGTGGCGGTGGGGGAATAACCCAATGGTCAGCTCGTGCGCGCTTCATCATAAGGTTTGTCATTGAGTCAATTGCAGTGACAAGGAGAAGGGTAGCCTGTCCAATGTCGTGGGTTTTCGCCGGGTCCTCCGGTTTCCTCCCACTGCTAAAGACCCCTACATGCAAGCAAATTATTGAAATAAAATTGAACCATATGTTAGTCCCGAAATTACCTAGTTTGTGTCGAGTGGACGTTAAACCACATATCTCGCTCTCTCTCGACTCTTTCTCTGAACCAGTGGCACGCTTTGCATTTGCTAATAATTATTAATTTGCTTATTATCAATTTGCATTGTTGAATAGGACTCGAGCAGAGAGTAACAAAAAACAATAGCCTATTACCCAATAGGTAGGCCTATTAGGTAGCAGTACCATTGCCCTTTAAGAAAATGGGAGGTTCCAAACCGCAAACATACAAACCCGGCCTCAATCATTCTGTCACTGTCAGAGAGTAATACTGATAGGCAACCTTCAATCATTGACATTGTACTGAAATTTGACCATCTCTTCACAAATTTGGCTAACACACCCTGAGCTATTATGATAATTTAACAGTAAAAAGACATATAATGTTGAAAAGTAAGGTTTGTGTAAGAATTTACAAAACTTTAGCCCACATAGGGGGCCTACAATCTGAATTTGTAAACTTTAAAGCCATCTATTAACAATTTTTATATTGCTTTAATCAGTAAATTAGCTAAAGATCTGCAAAATGGTTGAACAGAAGAATATTTTCTTTGGACTTGATGGAAGAGAATTTGCTAATGAAATAGCTGAACTTAGCTATAAGCATTATGACGCTCTTCCAAAGAAGGGGAAACCACAGTTAGGAAAAGAATGGACTCTTCTTTCTGCTGTTATAATGACATGTACAACAGGTAGAATGTTTAACTTGATCTGACACCTTTAGGTACCAAGAATAATAATAATCAAAAACAGTACTATAATCTAACTAAAAATGTTTATGATTAAAATTCTATTTCCTGGACAGTCAAGTTTCTAAATACATAAACAGGTCCATTGATTTGAAAATGTTTATAATCAAACCACTAGGAAGTTATATTTAAGTCAGTGACAATATTTTATTAATTTTGTTTGATATTTTTCAACCTTAATTATAGGCGAAGGTTTGTTAACTCCAAAGGTTATTGCTATGGGGACAGGATCGAAATGTTTAGGTGAATCTAAACTCAGTAAATCAGGTATTTTACATTTACATGTAATCCTCTTTATTTAGTATTTCAATTCACATCCATCTTTTGTTGTTAAAAGCTGCTATGTAGGCCACATACGTAGGTACCGATATAAGGTAAAATAAATATCCAAATATCATATTAACTGACATATTTGAATATTTCAAAAGAACAGAATTATGTTGACCCAGAGAGAAATAACATAAAAATGTAGTTCACACATGTTTTGAGTATTCTTACAAATCTATACTATACATTATTAGATTAAATTTCACAATTTTCCCTTTTGAGATAATCAAATTTGAAGTAGAATACCAGTAAACATGTGTTTGTCCACAGTACCTATCCCCATAAACAACCTCTTAACTTTGTTATGCTTCTGTCACAAAATCATGAATATTCACCAAAACCTGGTGGAAAACGTAAAGTTCAAACCTTCTTCTTTGATTCTACATCATCATAGAAAGGGGTGGGGGTGGGGGAGCTTAATGTAATGACAGAGGAAGACTATAAAATGAGGAATTAATTGGTTGTCTACTTCAGGTTGTGATTTTTTTGCCTGGATTTATACATTTAAATAAACTTTTGGAAAGGAAGGGGCAATTAAAAGGTCAAATAGTTGAACATAGTTTTCAGATAATTGTAACAATCTGATTAAAACACAGATCCTATTTGGTTTTGTTTTTATAGTTCAAAATTTCATTTTACATGTCTTTACTACACTAGGATCGGGAAGAATTGTTATCATTGACGTGTACTGGCTGATGTGTGGGATTAGCCAATGAAACAGCCTGTTACGTCAAGCTTTTGGCCTTCTGGTGCACAGAACTGTGGGTAAACTACTAGAATCATTAGCGCTGATTGATTAATTAATGTCTGACGTCATGTCATAGGGTCAAAAGCCGCTCGCTTTACCCATGACGTGAACTCCCACTATAACTTGTCAGATCTTCATGTAGTGTAGGCCATAGAAAGTATAAAAAAAACGAAACGAAATATAGATCTGATGTAATAAATAGAAATTTTGGTATACAGTGTGCAAAGATATTTTAATTTTTAAAATGTTTGAATCTCATAGCTTGCAAAGACAAAATGAATTGCCAAAATAATTTTCCAAGAAAATAAAATTAGAAAAGTTATCAAGTTGCAGTAAAATGTATAAAAGAAAGTTTCTGAAAGGGAAAATATGTGGATGATTTTCTCATAATCTATATGGAAGATTAGATTTGAAGATTGATTAGAATTTTTTTTTAATGTGTTGATACCACTATTCGATTAATCCTATATAAATTTTTGTGATGTTTTTAGGTGATGTTGTTAATGACAGTCATGCTGAAATTTTAGCTAGAAGAAGTTTTATATGGTAACTTTTTTATTCTTCAGTTTCCTTTTGAAATGATGTAATGTTAAAAATAAAAGTTTCATTATACCTCAATAATGTATCCCTTGAATGCAGGTATTTTATACTATTCAGCTTATGGTTTCTTTATTTTTTTTTTCAAATTGTGATGCATAGGACCAGGTATGCTTGACATGTAATACCACTGTGACATGTTCATGTAGCTGACAGTGATATGAAACCACAGTTCAAGAAGTACCACAATAACCCGAAAATCAAGATATAAACCATTCCGCTGAATATCTTATGGCTTTGTTCCAAGTTTTTCAATTTATCCCCACTTAAATGGCTATTATTTGAATAATGAATTACCATATATTAGTCCAGTTATAATAATTTATAATAATGTTCTAAATTAATCATTATTTCTATCTGTTAATAGTTATTTATATGAGCAGTTAAACTTGGTATATAAAGGAGATGAAAGTTTAGTTTTTCAACCACCAGATGAAACTAACAGATGTTGCTTGAGAAATAATGTGAATTTTCACTTATTTACCAGTCACACACCATGTAAGTATCATCTATTGATAGTGGGCCTCCGGTCCATTCAGATGAAATGGCAGTTCTCTGATAACTTAGAATGTCTGTGTTTCATTTCATTTGGGGCTTTTGTATTGTTTTGATAGGACAAATAACCAAGGTCTAAAAGAGAAATTGACAGTTTGAAATCGATGACGAGTCGGTGGAAACACCGCTCTCTGGTAAAAATTATCCTTAATCTTTTGCACATGTAACCATCAAAATAAAATTTATGATATATTTGTATCAAAATGATCAAAACATTAAACCCCATTCCATTCCTATATACTTGGTTAGCAATAACTGATCACTTCTCTTATAGACTATAAGAGAAGTGATAAGTTATTGCTAGTATTGTTGCATAACTACAGTTGTTGTGTACATTGTAGATACTTCAAACCTGTATCTCTATAGTTCCAAAATAACCCATTAATTGGAGTACTTCATATTAATTATTCAAACAATTTTAAGGGAAACTAGGCCATGTCACCATGACTAAATCCCAATCTAAGTGTATAAACACTAGTTTATAAAAAAATGCTGTAGTCAAAATATATTATTTTTTCAGGTGGCGATGCTTCTATATTTCTTAAGATATCTCCAGAAGTGTTATCTGATGATTGGGGTGGTGATGAAAGTTCTTGTTATGAATGCCCACGAAAGCGGAAAATAAATGATGATGTAGATGTCAAAAATAAAATACATAAATTATCAGATGAAAGCTCAAATATCAAGACTTGTGAGGAGAATATTGAAAACAATGTTCAGCAAGATACTGGACAATTTGATCATAAAGTTATAAAAAATGAAAGCAGCTGTGATAAAAAGATTCCTGTAGACATTTATAGAACTGGAGCTAAGTGCGTTCCTGGTGGATTTCAAGACACTCATGGCAGCAAATCAGATTATCATTGTGTTGGAGCTTTGAGAATAAAACCAGGACGTGGTGATAGAACAATATCTATGTCGTGTAGTGATAAAATAGCACGATGGACTGTTGTAGGAATACAAGGAGCACTACTTTCTCATTTCTTAAATTCACCAATATATTTGCAATCAGTTATTGTTGGCAAGTATGTTTACCTTTAATTAGGTAATTTCATAAATCTTTAATTAAACCTAAATAGTGAATCTTAATATATTTTCAAACAATTATTGTTGTCAAGTATGATATACCTTTAATTAGGTAATTTTATAAATTGTTTAATTATACCTAAATAGTGGTTCTTAAATATGCATTATGTAAGGTTTAGATAAAGAGCTGATCATTCTTACTATTATAGTTCAAAAAAAGATAATGAAAAATGAATATATTGAAAATTTCAGAAGATGTAGCATAGATTGTTTATTATCGTAGCAACGGTACTTGATAAACGAAACTAGGTCTTGTCATGTTAATAAATGTCTAAATAATAGTTTAAATAACGTTTGAGGCCATGGGCAGACTTAGCTCTTACATTGTACATATTTCATCTTTAATATATTTTCAGCTGGATGTGACTGTAGTAGTAGATTCTCCTTTTTCCCCTTTAATTGCCCAAGGTGGAACATGAGTGAATACTTTTATAGTTAGGATTACCTTGTTGAATTATATTGAAAATATTGAAAGTTAGATTGTTTTTTCTATAGATGTCCCTACGATCAGTCATCCATGAAAAGAGCACTGACAGATAGAGTTGCTGATGTCACCAATTTAGCCAATCATTATACCTTGACAGCACCTTATCTGTTACAGTCTGGTCTAGCATTTAAAGAAGGAAGAAATGATGAAGATTCAAGTAGCAGATTAGTTCCAACTGCTGCCGGTAAGTGAAGAATCACTTTCTAAAGAAATGGGATCGGAGTCAATGACATATAGGCAGTTGTCATCATAATTGTGAGATGATTTAGTTAGACTGTTAGGTCATGTTTTCATTGCCATGTTTGAATAGCTATACAGACATAAAGTTATGTTGGCAATATCTTGGATATATTCTAAGAAAGGAATATCAACAAATGGTCAAAATAGATCAGGTGGTGGGTGCTACACTATAATTCACAAACAATACAATTATTAACAGAAGTGTAGCATCTGTACACTTGGGTGTCAGTTAATTTTCATTACTTTGATCGGAAGTCTATCGTTGATCACAAATTATGTAGATGAAAGACGCGAAAGACAGCACCACCTCTGAGCAAAACAAAAATATTGCATTCACACTAAAGTTATGCTGCCACAACTTTAATTCCAGAACAGCTAAATTTTATTCATGTCTGCCAAGTAAGTTCACATTGTACAATTTTAAGGATATTATTTCTAAAAAAGATTGATCTGTAAACAGGTACAAGAAGTTGTACTTTCTTGTAATAATATTATTTATTCTTTTCATTATATATTTGTATTAATATTATTATATTGTAGGTATTACCTGGTTTCGAAGTAAACAGTTGGGAGTTAGTGAAGTCAGTGTTAATGGTAAAAAACAAGGTGTTACTAATAAAAACAAAAATAAACCAGAAGCCAGGTAAAAATCTGGGATCTCATATCTACTTTTTATACCCCAAATTGAAATGTGGTCACCCCACCCCCCATCCGTCGTCCTCAATTGCTTGTAGACAATCTAGAGGCTAAAGTGAATATCTGATTGACTTTAGATTTATACACAGGTCAAGCCTATTGATTTTGAACCATTTCCATAAGTATTGCAGTTTTTACTCCAATAATACAAAGGTGGCTATTGATATTCAACAATTACCTCCAGAGTTATGGCCCTTGATAACTTTGAAAATCTTGTGGACACTCTAAAGACCAAGGCTATCATCAGATAGTTTAAGGTCATGAGATGACAAACCCTATTGATTTTCAATGGTTTTCAATAATTACTGCCAGAGTTATGGCCCTTGACTAACTTTATACACTGTGTATAGGGTCCTGACCAGGCCTATAACCTATTGATTTCTTATGCTTTCCGATAAATATTGCCAGAGTGTATACTAAACTGAGCATGTGCAGCATTAGAAACTAACAAATTCTTATGATTTCCAATAATTACTTATCAGATTTTAGTATCTTTAAAAGAAAAGAAAAAAATATGTGACAAGCCTTGTTGACTATTGGATGACTTAGCTGCTGTGGGCGTATGTTTCATTGTCTTGCAACCTATCTTAAAAATCTACACAAGTCAAGTTCAGGTTAGTCCAAAATGTTCTGCTTGTCTAACTGATAATTCACTGCAGGGATTGGGATTTGATGTTTTAAATTTATCTGTAGATCATGTACAAATTTTTTTAGTCATCTGGATATATTTTCAGAACCATGAGCAATGTCATAATAAAAACAAAAACGTGTGAGCAGTTTTGGTGTGTGGTGAACACACAGAACATATTGATATATTTTAATGTCATTATGTTATAATTGATTCTCAACTATATTCATCTTCTGAATGCAATTATTATTCAGGTGTACAGTCTGTTGTATAGAAATGATGAGACGTTTCTTAAAACTCATAAAGTCTATTCCATCAGAACAGCGGCCTCCTTCTGTCAAGTATGTAATAGATGTATTTATTGGGTAAGATGGAACAAATTGGTAGTTTGTGTAAATAGTGTAATGCATTTGTTAGATGACTAGGAAAATTGCTCTTCTGCTTTAATTAGGATTTGAAATTATGAAATAAGGTGAGACAAGGATAGAGTTAAACTCCATGGATCCACCGCTTCCTCATTCTACTAGACACATTTACTTTTTTTTGATTTTTCATTTCTGAAAACATATGTTAAATGTCACTGTGATCCACACTTATTAATATTTTCTTTGAATCTCTGGTATATTTGACTATTAGGCCATTTGTGTCTTTATTATTTCAGATCTTTAGATCAAGAGAACTGTACATATCTTGAATGCAAGATTGCTGCAGTTTTCTACCAAGAGGCTCTTGATAAACTCAAATCAACGACATTCAGTACATGGGTACAAAAGTCACGTGATTATCTTCAATTCAAACTCAACTAACCAAATAAAGATATCTCATTCCAAAATATTTGTTGTATTTGTAAAAGTCATAAATATCTTAGACTGTAGTTTTTACCCCATAAATCAGCTTGACACATTATTTAACACACATTGATATTGAGTCTTGATGCATTCATTTCTTGTTTTAGTCTTGATTTGAAATCTCTATTGACTGAGAAATCACATGTTAAATTACAGGGTTATACAATCTTGTTTTAGTCAACTAATGCCGGAGTTGCTCCCAAATAAAAATATTGCTGCTCCTTGGTGTAATAAAAGAAAAAGCTAGGAGAGAGAGAAATGAAATTTAACTCCACTTGACACAAACTTGGTCATTATTGCAATAACATGGCAGAATTTTATATCCATAATTTGTTTGTACATAAGGGATCTTGAGCACTGAGAGAAGCCGAATGACCTGTAGAAGCCCAGGAGGTAAGGCAGGCTACCTTAAAGGACAATATTGGTGCCAGTCAATATCACCTATGTGATAGAACTGGTTAAACACGTGATAATATTTGGAACATGTTTAACCAGTTCTATCACATATATGATAATGACTGGCACCAATATTGTCCTTTAATCCTTGTCAGTACAAACTTGGTATTGAGACCACACCACTAGACTTGGTATCGAGACCACACCACTGATGACAAGCCTTTAAAGCGGAATATTAAGTAGGTTTTATTCAATTCTATATTAGGGTCTAATGGGGACTTACATTCTCTTCTCTCCTTGTGGACTGTTCGTTTGTGAGCAGAATCAGCCGTTCATGACTGCAACTTGATCAAGCTCGCTGGAAACTATTGGGTTGAATAACACTTGACACAATTATATGGAATACAAGTTACTTAAAAAGATATATTTCTGGCGATATTTTGAAGAGGATTCTCTCAGTCTTTATCCAACAAAGAATGACAGGTCGCTTAAACAATTATGGAGTTGAACTTTTAGAAAATGGAATGAATTTAATTTAGCCTTAAAGAAAACAAGAACTGTTCTTTTTAGAGATTTATTTGCTTAAATTCAGCTTAAAAATTTGCATACCAAAAATATGGCAACATGAGAATATATAAACAATGCTACAATATAATAATTTACATTTATAAATATATATAACAGGGTTGATGAACTTCATCACTGGTTAAGATTTCTATGGCAAGAGTCCACTGATCTGTATAATATATAGATCAGTGCAAGAGTCCTGTTATATAAATTATCTCCCTTGATGTGTCAAGGGAGATAATTCGAGATTTCAATTTTTTATGGTTATTATTTTAGCATGAAAAGAGACAGCAAGTCCTTTCAATTGAGTAAATACTGTATATTTTAATTTATCACATGAAACAAAACATTTCTTTCAGCCTCTTGATAATACACATATATTTTGACTATAAGCATGAGATCAGATATAAATCTTTATGGCGGTTTGGACCATCTGTAACAATAAAGGTAATTGTATCTACTTAATAACAAATAGGTGTATGACAGACACTTTAGGGTTACATTTCCTTAGTTAAGCAAACTGTTTCAACCACTTAAAGTTTCAAAAATCTATTTGCAATGTTTTGTAGAGAAATTTAATCAGGAAGGGTTATATGTTTGGCTAATTTATAAAACATGCAAGCACACATTAGAAACTGGTAACTACTTACATAGATAATATATATATTGTGGTTTGTCATATTGCTTTATTACATCAATTGATATTCGTTTACCTAAAATTTGCCACAGCTAACATAGGTTTGAATATAAAATATTAGCTGTTTTTTTTAGTCTAATTTTTAACATAAACAATACAAAAAACTTTCCAGGGATAATTATGGTTAATAATTCTACAAAACCGATTTAAACAATGTCAAATATATAGGGCACAGCATTGCTATATGTTTTCAACAGTATTTCTACAAAAGATATAAATATAAACTATAAATATTATAAAAATAGATTTATTCAAACATGGAACATGCAACCCTTCCTTTCTCTTTAAAACTAGATGACTTAAACAAAACAATTAAGACTTTTGACTAGGTACAGATCAGATAATGAAATAATATTTTAATTTTGATCTCTTCAAACCCCATTTTTGTTGGGTGGGGTGTGGCTTTGTATTTGTCTGTTCATGAAGCCCATTATAGTTTTAAAGGAATATCAGCTGTACTAATTGACTTCTATTTGATATAGAAATTAAGGTGTGCATTAAAATATTCTCCTACATTTAAATTACTTTGCATCTACATGCTATACACTATTTTAACAACTGCTTATTTCACAGTGAAGTTTAATAAATTCTGTACAAATGTGTATTTACAATTTGTTTATTTGATAACTTAAATGGCATATGAAAACTTAAGTTAAATGAAATAATATTCGAATGGTTTTAAATGATGAAGAATGACTAAAAATAACCACACAATATTGCACAAATTCTTATGGTATAGAAAATAGTTAGTTAATGATTAATATTATTTTTTTGCGTCAATGTATCATTGTTATTTAAACCTTTTTCTACTTGGTCCATATCCACAATTCCCTTTTTTGTCACACAAAAATTTACAATGAAAAATTAAAAAATATAGATGTGTTAATGATAACAGGTGTAGCTATTGAGAACTAATTAAAATGGCCATATTCAGTTAAACAGATTCTAGAAAAGATAATTTTTGTAAATTTTGTTTTAGTCAGGGCACATAAAATCTAGATATTTAACCATAACATAGAGTGTCATTTACCAAAAAATAGTAAAACGTATGATATTAGTTATAATAATTTGTGAATAAATTTACTAATAAATTCAACAACATCAAAGTGCTTTTAAAATATTTCAAATGAGCCACTCTATTTTAATGTAATTTACTTGCAACACATCTTTGTCCTACTGGTAAATATATAAGAATATTTTTGTGTACATTACTACAGAAAACATATGCCCAATACTACCTGGGATTATCGAAAACTAGATCTAATATGTCTTGGAAATGTGCAATAGATCTATTCATCCTTGATTATATCACAGTCAAAATAAATTCAGCAGTAGTAGGGTATATTATACAAATCATCGATTTATTACTGATATATAGAAGAGGAAGAATAGATTTTAATGAGCAAAGAAAAAAAACCTTCCATCTTATTATCTATCAGAGAGTCTCATGACTAGTTCATTATCTATAATAATAATTCATTAATGTACACATGACTAAACTGATGTCTGTTATAATTTAGTCCACAACTTTCTTCTAAGCATTTAAAAACAATCTTTTTAAAAACAAAAATGATGTAACTGATGAAAGACAACAAAAGGGCTAAAGATAACTTCATCCATTCCTCTAACTCTCTAATAACTAGCAACCACTGTAACTTCTGCGACAGTCAATCCACCCTTCAAGGTACGTCGTACTGAAATTAAAAAGAATATACATAATGAATTACAAGTTTTTCTAAAAATATCATAACCATAATATAGATTTTCAGAAATATTTACTCACTGCATTTGGTACTTTGCATTAAAAACTTAAAATATATTCTAAAAATAAACAATTAATATATTATATAATTGATAAGAAATGGCTGACTGATGGAAATAATTTGAAAAAAAAAAACCCCATAAAGTTTATATTTGAAATAGAAGAAACTGGAATTCTAATATAAATATTCTATTTCATGCAGACAAACACTCAAATTCGTTCTCAATCCTTTAAAAGAACCGGTTATTCACATGCTTTGGCTTCTTGAAAATCTATTATGTTCTGCTAAAACGTATTATAAAGTAGAAATGAGAGACTTGTTAAAACTTAATAACTAAATGAATCCTACTGAAAAATGAGGTTTCAGGATCACAAAATCATGCTGTAATTTCATGTAATTAGAACTTTTCAATACCAGTTAACAAACATTTTAAACAATCAAAACCAACAGACAAAACAGTACACCCAAAATCCACATGTCCCATGTTCGGCACACAATGGGTAATGGTTGAATCAGAACTTTTGTACATAGTAATTGATCTGAATATAGCAGAGGTTGGTGTGATCATATGCGGAATATGTGGAATGTGGAATATGAGCATTCTGTCTTTATCCATAGGAAGACATAGGTAAATTAATAAATCTAAAAGGCATATTTTAAAAATATTTTTAGAAAAAATTAAAATGCATTTCCATTCATTTTATTAACTATTTTATCTGCATGTATATGTGAAGACCAAGTAAAGAGACGATAGAAAAGATAAAAGTAATCTAGGCAAATATTTATGTCTAATATGAATTACTATGCTACTATATTCTAAATATTTCTTCTAACAAAACATAACTTTAAATTCTAACTTATGAATAATGACCAAATAGTTTGTGATTAATTTATTAATAAAAAATCTGATGATCTTGCATAAATACAGATACATGTGGTGTTCTTTGTGCTTAACAAAATATTATGCATAACAAAGAAATTAAGATGAATTAAATTTAAAAAGCTCTTTTAAATAGGCAAAATTAGTTCTCTACTAATGTCTAATTATGGAATTTGTTAATATTCAATAAAAGCATAGACTTCATCATGTTTAATTTTTAACTTGAGTCTTAAACTATTCTGACAGACTTTTCTAAATAGGATAGTTTCAGTTTGTAGAATAATTTTCTGTAGATCAATATTTGTAGGCCATTGTGAGAGATGTGCATTCACTTTCTTCTTTTTACACCTTAAATAGTTTGTTATTTCTAATATGTAATCATTATAATTCTAGCATGTACCAAACTTTACCATCACAGTTAATAAATGTCTAATTAATAATTTATATAATATTTACTGCCCATAGAAAGACCTGCAATAGGCAGATTTAGCTGTTTAGGATTTCTTAAAATACATTTATTGAAGATTTGAACTTTCAACACATCAAATGAGGCAATGAGGTCGGACTCTGAAGTCAAACTGACATTTAAGAGAATGTAGTGAGTAATCATCCACTGAAAACATATCCAAGCTAAAATGTTGTAGGTCAGTTTGGTACCGTACAAGAAATATCAATGAAAGCATGTTATTATTTTGTTGCTAGCTGTAAACAATAATTATAAAACAACTCAGTTGAGACAAATATCTAATTATGCAGCACTTGCAACAAGACAAAATGTATAAAGTTATGGCAAAGCTGTTTCGGGTCAAATATGTTTTAAAATAAGAGCAAACCCATGTCTAACCTGAGATTTCAGAAATCTTTGGGATGTGCCTTCTATAATTCTCCAACTAAGATATAAGACAAGATGTTTTTAATTTAAACATCTATTGTATATATACTTGATAGTATACACATGGTCAATATCAATTTTATCTTACAATTAGTAAGAAAAGAAAATTGCACTCAAATTAAAATAAAGTTCAAAATTATGGCACACAAACCTATGTTTTAAAAATATAAATTACTTATAATAAGGCATTTTCATTTTACAATTAAATAAAACAGAGACAAGCAAGCTGTGTAAAATTTGTGTTTTAGATTTAAATGAATTGTAGAAAAGATGTCATCAAAATCAAATACATCTACATGAGTATTAATTGTGATAGTGATAATATATGTATGTAAATGATCCACATACATTATGACACTACTAAGACACAAAGAACACCATGACAGTGGTTAATTTCAACAAATGGTATGATGACGCAAGTTTAAGTGATATGATATATGTGATCCTAACAAACGGATGCATATCAACCTGGCATATCCAACATTTATATATATTTACACTGAACATGTCAACAACACTTTAGCTGCACATATAATATTACCTAATAATCACTATCCCAAAATGCTGAAATAATTGGCAAATTAAAAATAGATATAAAAATTGGTGCAAATAAACAGACCAGATAAAAAACTAAAAAGAGTTAGTATTAATTCCCATTTAAAAAAAAAATGTATATATAACTTAATTTTAGAAAGAAGCAAATAATACAGAATATGCGTAACTGGCTGATTTGTCTTGAATGAATGAATAAATGCCATGGGTTTTAAGGTCCTACTTTTCCAATTTGTTTTGGAGTGTTGATTTGCTTTAAAAATTCAACTAAAAAGCCAAAACAAGTCAATGTTTTTGGGGGGATCAAAAAGACTTCGAAATGAATTTAAGACAATTCAACCATGAAAGTTTATCCATATCAATGTTACATTGTAACATCATCCAACCAAGATATGAATAGAACACAACAGGGAAAAAAAAAGAAAAAATGAAACAAAATTCAAACTAAAATTGAAATCCCCTGTCACTCCCACCCCCAAGAGTACTATAACAACTGTTAATAACTGGATTATCTGAAAACAATAATCAATGCTTCATCAACTCTCACTTCCTTTCAAATATAAATGTTATGTTCTTGCTTTCCTCACCATTCAGTGTTAAGTCACCAACTCCCAACAACAAAACTCATGAATAATGAGTATTAACTCGAGGTGTATGATGCTGTCATATTCTACATGATCTTACAGATTATTCATGTTGCACTGTATATAGCAAGCCATGATAAATAGAACCATGTGACATGTGTTAATATGGGAGAGTTGATCAAAAGGAGGTAATTTTTGTAAAATGGTTATCCTTCACACAATGTAAAAGTAAAAATGGTGGTGGATGTTCTGTCTAAGGGTACACATCCATATCTTACCACATAATATCACCGCTCTTTTTGAACAAGGACATTTCGTAATTCATCTAAGTTTTCGTGTAAGACATCCCCTGAGCAAATTACAAATGGTTAGAACCATGATTTGAATAGAGAGAGAGAGAGAGAGAGATAGAAGTGAGGGGAAAGAGTGTGAAATAAAATGAAAATAATGGGTGTACAGTGCTATGACCCTTTGATATCAATAATATATTGAAATATGGTGTGTTTTGTAACTTCAAAGGTGGATTTTATTTCTTGCTATTCATTGAAAATGAATGAAATGAAATGGGGTTTAACTCCTCCTGGGCTAATGAAGACGGTCATAAGCCATGCCTACTCTGAAATCGAATTCCAACTGTCAAGGGTTATTTTACATGCACACCAATATGTACATGGGACCTTGTTTTTCCGTTCCATCCGAACAACTGTACATTGTCCCTTGCCAGGCCCCCCTTCCTAGATCACTGACAAGGGGGCTATTCATTGCGATTTTGAAACAAAAACTCGAATCAAATTTTATGATCTGTAAGATATTGAATACTCTCTTACATGCCTGCTAGTACATTGATAATCAACTTAAGAGGTATTTTTACGATTTAAATTGTGACCGTATTACTAGAATAGATACATAATAAAAGCCACCTTTAAAATAACCCTATAAAAGCACTTTATATATAGCTACGACTGCAAAATAATCAATGTGATCAATTATTTAATCAATACAATAAGACTTTATATTAAAAGCAAAAGCTCGAACCTTAAAAGATAAAACAGCGAACTCGAGTGAAGCAATAATAGAAATAGTTTAATATTAATGTAAATACGTACAGGACTTTCTATTGCTTCTTGATCTTCTTCGTTCTCTTGGTGCTCGACCGGTCTGACCTGTAGCTGTTCTGACACAAGCTTCTAACAATTCATCATCACCAGTATCATACATTTCAGAATCTGTTGTAATACTTCCTTTACTTGCACCTAAACTTTTAGCATCTGAAAAATAGCAGAAATATGTCTCTTTAATACAAGCTATTGTAAACATACACATTTCACAATACCCTTTCATACATTCTCTATGATCTGCACCTGATTAACCAATCCTCGATTATTCTTATTCATTCGAAAATTGCAATTATATATAAGCAAAGTAGATGTAATTTACAAAAAAAACATAATTTTGTCAGCAAAACTGATTGTTTTTTCACTCTTTGGATTCCATTATTTTCCTATGTTGTAGGAGTCTTACCATGTTTCCTTCTGATTCTCTGACCAGGTAAACCTCGTTCATCACAACTAGCATACCCATTCTTTAATACAGCATGTAAAGCATCATCAGTCTTTGCATCCTTTGATTTAGAAAAGTTCTCAGTCTGCAACAGAAAATAAAATGAATGAATGAATGAAATGTGGTTTAACATCCTACTTTTCTGCACCTATCTGGCTAATGAAGATGGGCATACGACCATATGCCATACAGTGTGCTATGAGGGCACTTTGCCAAGACAGCAATTGACTCCCAACTAAGGGGTCTTTTAAGTGTACACCAATATGCATAGGCGTAGGCCCCCCCATTTTGGGCACCAAATGCTGGGAAAATTTGGGCACACAATTGTACTTTGTAAAAGTTGTATAAAAAAAATATTGTGTTCTTGAATGTGTCCAATTTAACAGCGAATTTATTATTATTATGTAACATACTAAGAACCTTACTACATTTTTTGGGCACCAACCACCACTGCCCCCCCCAGTCAAAAATTTCCCGTTCGCCTATGCCAATATGTAAATGACAAGACCATGTACCTTGCCAGGCTTTCCGTTCTGCATTCTGACAAGGGGAAACCACGCCAGAAAATCCAGAGGAACCTTATTGGCCAACACTGGGATCGAACTCCAGGTTAGCAAGCAAGTGCCTTCTCCCCATGGAGAATTATAACATTTATTGGTACTCCTCTAAAGGTACAGCAGTGCATCCTTCATACGTATAGCAATGATCTATGTCCATAATTTGTACAACCATTCTCACCTCATTAATCATCTTTCCTCTTGTTCTGTTACGCTCTCTCTGATTGGCTTTCTTGAGTTGTTGTTGTATCACCTTATCTCTAGTTGTTCTATATTCAAGTGCAAACTCACTGATTATTTTACAGAATGCATTTATTTTCTGTTCCCTTGCTGCATATACTGGAAGTCCCATGAATAATAGAAGTTTGTGATATCTAGAAGTATAAGAGATTAATCTAAAGAACAGTTCTTCAAATACAAACAGGGCTGGAATATTTTTGAATGGAAACAAGGTTAACCAACTTACACACCTATATTTAGTCACTCCTGTTACAGAAATAAAGCTAACTTACCTATTTAAAACCCGTTTATAAATTATTTGTAATATCATGATTCTTTCAGCTGCATCTGCTAAAAACACCAACATTCTAAAATATAAAAACAAATAGAAACTGTTTAGTATTTCTTAAAATTTACAAAAGTACTGTGTATAAACTGGAAGTTGTAAAGCAATAAATCTATCTATGGTGATGGAGTTTAAGGTCTGGATCAACAGAAGGACTGTAGATAATAAGGTCTGTTAGGCCATATCATAAATAATACTGGATACTCATATATTCCTATAAACAACAATTTGATGTGACAAAACCTCCCGCAACAAAAGCAGCCATTAGGAATTACTCACTTGTTTACTGTGACCGCGCTACGCTAATCAATGTCTGTCATCGGCAACAGGACATTCATTGTAGAGTCGACGGCAAAATGACAAAAAATGTGTAACAATTATATTTTCCAAATTTGTGAAAAGTATGGTCAATGTCAAAATAATAAAAAAAATAATACATGTGTTAGAATTATATCATTTTCCAAATTTGTGAAAAGTAGGGTCATCGGATCAATAAACCATGGCCTTATCTAACTATGTAAGTCATGGGTTCATGACCGAAAGTATAGTTGCCTGCCTAATCCCCCAAGTTTTTCTGGTTTTCTCGCACTGCTTGGGAGCACAAGTAAATTATTGAATTAGAAATCTTTCATATCACTGAAATGTCCATGTACAGTTAAATAGATATATGGTAGCCTACTCACTTTCCCTTGAACTCTGAGGATGCTCCATCATGTTTAACAATAGCACGTAAGTAATCCCATGATGCTTTACAATCTCTTTCCATCTTTAATAATTTCTTTTCTAACTCATCCCAGTCAACCTGCAAATAGAATATTATTATAGGTACTAATTCATATTTAAAAACAAAATTTTCCAGGGTTTTCCACCACACTCTCTAATAACTAATTAGACAGCTTTTGTCTACCTAATTTCCATGCAAGATAAACCTAAAAAATAGTTATTAGGCAAATATAGTCAGAATGCTTTCGTTTAAAACTAAGATGATATATGACCCTTTCATTACTTCCCGATAGGTTTAATGATGAAATGAAATGAAATGGGGTTTAACGTCCTACTGTTTTGCTCCGAACTGGTCAAATGAAGACGGGCATACGCTATACAGTGTGCTATGAGGGAAATTTTGCTCGGACAGCGGCACTATGGCCTACTCTTATATCGAATTCCACCTGTAAAGTGATCTTTTACGTGCACGCCAATGTGTACACGGGACCTCGGTTTTTCATCTCATCCGAATGACTAGACAGCTGTCCTTGTCACTGTCAGGCCCTCCGTCCTGCAGGTTTAATAATGAGATTATAACTTACCCTAGAACATCGTGTTAATGGACCTATTTCTGAATATAGATCACTAGTACCAGGAAACTGTTCTAATATCATAACACATAGATGATGTAATAATGAGTGTTTATGAGCTGTATCTTTAACTTCTGGTACTTTCGTTAAGAAATCTAAACTAAAACCACGAGCCTGCAACAGAAAATTTAAGTAAGTCAACAAAAAAAATTTTTTTTTAGAACCCCTCCTTCCAACTCCCTTACTTTGAGGGTGGTGAGTGGGGTTGTAATAGAGGTCTTAACTGTTAGAAAACAGTACATGGCTCAACCAGATCAACAGTTTGACCAGCTGTCAAAAACTCTACTCCTAATGTAATGGTATATTATCACTGGAAACCCTAATACGTTCACATATAGCATTATGTTGTTTATTAGTACTGTATATGATAATTTTGGTTGGATTAATAACATTAAATCGATCCTAGGTAATGCTGGTCTTTTTATATATGACACCAACATGGTCAAAATGTTAATCGCAAATGGTTGAAGCAAACGTAATAGTGTGGTATGACATGTCATCCCGTAGGATTTGTATGCTAAAATTGATTTTTTTGTTGTTTTGGGTTGATGTTGGACCAAGCTATCCAAAAATGTCGGAGTTCAAATTTTCCGACCCCTTGAACCGTCTGGGAGGAGCAATTATGAAATCAGGATCCCTCTGACCGAGGCCATGGCAATCTCCGCCAATAATGGTTGGATTTTCATGATCTGAAGTTCATTCTGGTGTTTTTTCATGATGCCGCCCCATCTATGATACACTTAAAGCGAATGGAAGTAGTCTTTACTGACTTCCGGTAGGAAATACCAATTTCTGGTGTCGGATTGAATTCAGCCAATAACCTTTGGATTTTCATGATCTGAAGTTCATTCTGGGGTTCAAATTTTTTCGACCCTTGACCCCTCTGGGAGGGGCTTTTTTAAAATCCGGACCCCTCTGACCGATTCCATGGCTATCTCTGCCAACAATGGTTGGATTTTCATAATCTGAAGTTCATTCTGGGGTTTTGTCATCATGCCAACTCCATCTATGATACACTTAAAGCAAATGGAAGTAGTTTCATTGAATTCCGGTGAGGAATACCAATTTCCGGTGTCTCAGCCTACCACTTTGTATGGCTTTTGAAGCATGGTAAAATGATATCTTGTGGTCCCCATTGGGTGACTGGAATGTTCTGTCATGAGATTCTGAACAAGCCAGAAGTCGCCAGAAACGCAACAAAAATATCCTATCTTGGAAATAAATACAATGCAGTTCACTACATCAGTTATTCATCATCCTCGTCCTCCTGCACACCCCTTATCATATTGGTACTGTCCCTATCAAAACATGTGCAGAGAGATGTATAAGGCAGATCAGAATAATGGTCAACCATGTACATCTCTGTGCAAGGGTTTTAATAGGGAGCGTACCAATAAGATCAGGAATGTGCAATGGGACATGGATGATGCATCGCTCATGTAGTTGATTGCGTTCTATTTATTTTCAAGATAGGAATTTCATTGATTTCGTTTCTAGCGACTTCTGGCTTGTTATGATTTCTTTTTGTTTTTGATATTAAACTTGTTTACTTGTTACCAATGTAAGGTTTGTCTTGAATCTCATGACAGAACATTCCAATGACCCAAAAGTGACTGCATGAAACATTTACAAAAATATCAGAAAGTAGTAAATGTATCAATTATAGAATACTTAAGAAACAATTTGAATTAGAAGACTACATGTTAAATCTGACCCCAAAATTTTGTAAGTGTCTTTCAAAAATGCGATGTAGAAGTCATCAATTGCCTATTGAGACTTTATCATATACCAATATACCAAGACAGGAAAGGAAATGTCATCTATGTAGACTAAATATAGGAGACGAATTCCATTATTTGTTAGAGTATCCATTTTTTACGGACTACAGGTCTCAATATGTAAAGAGATATTATTTCCAATTTCCATCCACTCGTAAAATGAATGAGATATTGCATGTTAAGGGTAACAAACTATTAAAATTATGTAAATTCATTGAAAATACATTGTCCCATATACTGTTAAGAAATAGCCTGATGTTTAATAAAATTTATATATATTATTTTCAGATACTATTAATTAATGTTAAATCTATATTGTTTATAGTTTGATGTGAAATGAATTTATGAATATAATGAAAATGTACAATGAAATTTAATGAATTCTTGTAAACTGATGGTTTTTGTGAATAAAGATTATTATTATTATAAAACTGTTTGGAGAAAATGGGTATTTCAATTTTCTTCTTCTATGAAGATCGGAATAGTCCAAAAATTATTTAATTTAGTGAAATCAGAATTAAATTGAAAGACCTACCTGACTACCGTTTAAGAAGTTACCAATTCCTAGTAGAACTGATAAAATATATTTAAAAGTTTTGTTAACACACAACTCTTCTATTCCTTTCTTCAGATCCATGAGAGGTTCAGATACTTCCTATAATAAACATACAGTAACTAATTTAAAAAACAAATATTTAACAAATCTTTACATGCAAATTATCTTTCACAAGGTAAAATATATATAGGCCAGCTCTTTTAAAACAGAAGCAACGATGACTGTCAATAGTGTAAATTACAAAAAAATTCTACATCATAAAAATTACTTACCTGTTCCAACTGTTCATATTCTAGTTTAAACAACCAGAGACGTAATCTAGCATATAATTCGTTGATTGATGATAAAGTTAATAAGAACTGTTCAGCTGTACCAAGAGGGATATCAGGATTAGCAATCTGAGCATCTAATATTAACTGTTTCTCTTCTTCTGTTGGTAATAATTTATTCAGGATTTTCTGTTGAAAACAAATGATATGATTAAGGGTCAATCACAGTCTAAATAAAATCAGATTCGTTATAAGATTTTATTCAGAATGGGGTATAAAGAGAGACATTTATTTAAAAAGGAAAGACACAAGCCAAAAAAATGTAATTAAAAATTAATGCTTTTCTTCTTAACATAATTACTACTTTAACATAAATTTAACTGCTTAGATCTGAGAATAAAACATACAATATATCAACTTGTTAGACTACAGCTATTACTTAATACCATTTGACATACCTCTATACTTTCCTTGTTCATAATAGAATTATCCATCTTCAATATAGCAGCTTTGATAGTTCTTGGAGGGGGTAGTACCGTTAAACTGATGTTGATACCGTTTGAACGTTTAGGATCCAATACTGTAATTTCTTTTTTCCCAGACGTATCAGTTTTCTGTTATAATATTATGGCATATATGAGTAACTGGTGATAAATGATTTACATGGATTTGAATAATCTGATTTGGAAGCATACACCATCATACAAATTTTAATTAAACATAATTTGTACTGACTATCAGCTTTTTGATTTTATGAAACACATCAATTATATTCTTGTTGCATGATTCCGTGTCAGATTTTTCAAAGAAGAAAATAAAATATATGACATACAAATCAAACTTGACAAGTAATGAACAACACTGAGTGATTATGATTATGAAGACATTGAAGCTTTTTGGATGAAAGTTTAGTATTTATGTATAGATGATAATTTTATTGATCGAATAATGATTAAACAAATTACATCCACTTATTTTTGATTTGATAACACAACAGTTCAAGCCTTGATCCATAATAGAGGATGCACAGAAAGATTAGAAAAGAATACAAAGTGGTTTTAAAAGATTAAAGAATAAATCCCTTTTGAATTAAAGTTAAAAATGAACAATATTTAGTAGTATAGAGATTACACTATTTAGATGTTGTATAGAACAGGAGGCATGCTATAATATCAAATAGAATCTGTTTCATTCCACAGACAATACAAATAAAATGTATTATCTAGGATATAACTTTGTTTGAAACTGAAATATCGCAGACAGGTAGGTTTTCATAATGGCAGTACTCAGTAATAGTGAAAGAAAGGAAGGATCAAGGCCACCATGCTGTCATACAAATTCAAATAGTACTAAAACATTTCTTCACAAACAAAAAACACAAAAAATCAACATCCTTGAACACAAGACCAAACGAAGCTTGAAACACAGCTTAGAGTGGACCTGTTGTTTATAAATACAAGGAATTATGTTGGATAAGTAGGTCACTGTTGTCTAAAATGGTGTTTTTTTTGGTACAATTTTAAGTTCTATCTAATACAATGACAACATTTATCTATCTCCACTATTTGTCAAGCTCACAATATACAAAACACTGATATATATTGAGATACAACACTGAATCTGGGACCCTTAATCTTACTAATAAGTATTTCTGATTTGACCTACCAAAATCTAAACAAAACAGTTAACAGAGCTTCTGAGGTTCTGGTGAAATTCAAATATAAAACAATAGAGGGGCTTTTATAAATTGATCACTGAGATGAGTTAATAATATCTAACGGAACTACTACACAGGCACGAATTTAAGAAATTTGCAAATTGATTACAGGTACTGAGATTGAGTAATTTTAGATGGAGTGAACTTATATCAAAAAAAACGTGCATGTATTTTACACCTAGGATACAAGATGATATAAACGATTATTTGTACTATTGTCTACTGAACTATTAAAAACTCACTGGAAAAGGGCCATTTTATTCTGTGTTTATGCAAGTTTCGATACTGTGGAAAACAGAGTGTTTAATCATATTTCAAAGTGGTATTTTTACTGTTGAGATTCAGACAGTCGTTCCAGTAGACACTGATAATCATACTAAAATTAGCTGCGTTTGTTTGAATAAGAAAAGAAATATGAAGCAGATCTTTCTCAATTCATCAACACTTATTAGTCAAGAACAAGGGTCATCTTACTATCTTCTTTCAATTATAAAATATTTACTAACTACAACATTCAACCCCTAACACTGCTTCACACTTTTACACTCTAGATATATATATTCCTAAGTCTGAACTATTTATAGCAGTTATGCATGTATATCACATGTATTTTAATTATTGCTCTAACATTAAAAGCTCTTACCAGGTCCTGTTATTAAAAACATGCAGTTAGCAACGGCCACGAGATCACAGCATCAAGTCATATATGAAAGAAAAAATCATAGCTCACATAATGAACATTAACATCAATAATACATCAAATCAACCCAGCTAATACATCTCTAGTCCCATATAGTGAAAAGATCATTGCAGAACATCGAAATTCACAAAACAATATCTCCCATCAAATTCAATAAATGTGCAAATGATTACAAAATGCTATTTCAAAATTCAGCAATCAAAATATCTTTTCAAAATTCAAAATCTTATAATTTCAATGTATGCTGTAAATGTAATATTATTTATAATTTGAATGTAAAATTATAGAAATTATCTAATTAGAAAATACGTAATAATCTTATCTTTTTAAGATTTTAAGCCATTAAGTTCTAATTTCATATATTTATAGAAAAGTTATAAAAGCATCACCTTTTGTTTGAGTTCACTGGTTCTTGTTTCAAACAAATGTTCCAATTTTTCAATATCTAGTTTGATTGGTGCTGGATCTTTCCAAATAGTTTCGATCTTTGAACCTGGTACAGTCACATCGCCAGGAATCGTCTTCCAAAATATTTTGATTGTTTTCTTGCTCTTTGGTAGATTAGCCCCTGGAGGTGGTGGACCAGTTTGCGGAGGAGTTGGAGATGGGCAACCTGGTGGAGGGGGTGGTGGTGGCATACCAGGCATCATTGGAGGAGGGGGAGGAGGTGCCATTCCTGGCATCATGGGTGGAGGAGGTGGTGGCATACCGGGCATTCCTGGAGGAGGAGGTGGTGGCATTCCAGGTGGGGGAGGTGGCATTCCACCGGGCATTTGCATCTGAGGCGGTTCAAACAAGTCAAGATCATCTTCATCCTTCAGATCAGTAAAGTCCATATCTTTAAGTTTTAGGGGTCGCTTTAATCTTCTAGCAATTCTCTCCCACTGCATGTCACTCTCGGTCTTTTTGGGCTCTGGTGCTTTAGCAGGCTGTTGAGGTTCTGGTTGTTTTGGAGTGAAAGGTGTCTTTTTATTTAACCCTTCCATTGCTTTACCAATCAAACCAGTAGAATCACCAACTGGACGACCAGTTTCCAATGGAAGTCTCTCTTCCTCTTTGTTAACAAACCGATTTTTGGCATCTGACACTGTTCCATCAGTATGTATAGTAACACCTGGTTTTTTATTTGGTATATGTCCATTTTGTTCTTCATGAAATCTATCACGGCGCTGTGAGATTCCATCACCGCCAAATCGGTTCTTATTATTACACACTTCCTCTTCATGAGAACGGTAATTTCTATTATTATTTCGATTATGATTGTCATTTTCTATATTATTTCTAGTGTCTAGAGAATTCTGATCAAAACTTTGATAACCCGATTCATTCAACTGGGACATACCCATGTCTTTATTTGGATAAGCATCTGAAATAAATATCAATATAACAACATAAATATATAATACTATATAAAACAATCTGATAATATTTAACATAAATACATGATTGATACAATAGAAATTCCTTTATAGTAAAGTGATGTCTAAGTGAAATAAAAGTATTAAAATCTTGAAACATAGAAACTCATACAAGCACCTACTGGGCTAATGAATGCGAGCATATGCCATTCAAGGAAATTTGCCTAGACAACAATTGTCATAGGTTCTTTTGCATACAGGCCAATGTGTTCACAGGACCTTAGTTTTTTGTCCCATCTAAAAAGACTAGGCTACTGAGCCAGCACCTTACTAACTGAGTCACTGTGGCTCACGAAAAAACCATAATTCTTAACTTTGACTGTATAAAAACTATATAAACAATGATAGTTAGTAAAAATAATCACATATCTAGGTTATCATGCCCACTAAATTATGAGGGAAAAATAATTAAAATGTTAGAATGATTTGTTGCCTTACCAAACACATCTAAATCACTTTGTGAACTATGTAAGGACGGGGTAGTTAATGAAGACTCTGGTTGATTAGAACCACTACTACTAGTCGTACTAGTGGATGAAGTACTGGCTATAGAAAAACGATCTCCTTCTGTAGATTGAACTAACTCCTGCTGTAGTTTAATCTGAGTTCGCTGTCTTTCTCTTCTCTCTCTACGGGTTACATTTAAATCTGTTGGCAAACATGCGGTTATCAATTAAAACACCATGCTTCATTCACACACAAGTTAACATTTCTAATCTGTATGTTGATCTAAATTTAATTTTCCAATAAACTAATAAAATTAGTTATGGGTAAAATTTTAAGGGTAAAATGGGATTCTTGAATTGAATTTCACACCTTGTTAAGGATTGAAATGCTGTTAGGATTTTTGGATTAGGTACATATATTTAAGGTATTTATAAAATGAAAAGTTGATTATGTTGTTAATGATTAAAACACAGCAGTCTCTATACATATAGATATAAATATTGTTAGTGTTTCACTAATGTTGTAGTACTACTTACATTGATCTTGACCCTGTGCATCTGCTGGAAGTGACCGTCTGTTGGTACGAGATCTTGGTTGTTGAACTTCTAATTCTTCTTGTGGTGGTATTCTGAAACTGTTAGAAACTCAACATTCAATAATAATAATAATACATTTTAATCCTTACCACTTAGGGATATTGCTCAAACCATGACATAATAAAAAAAAGATTAGCACTTTTTTGAAACAACATATACCATTTTTTTTTTTACAATAAATTTGTTCAAACATTTCTAACAGTTTATGATTTATTAAATAATTCAAATGATATAGTAATAATTCAAGGAATTACTTACTCTGCATCCTTTTTCCGTTTTTGTCGCAATGCTTCTGCAGGATCATACTCTTCTATATGTGGTGGCAAAATAGGTGTACTTTGAGATTTTAAAAGTTTCTGCTGCCCACTACCAAGACTTCTACGACTTTTACGACTTTCATCTCCACTTTTCATTCGAGGTACTTGCCTAAAGATAAATTCATATTTCACCTATTACATTTACTAGCAAATATACAGATTAATGAAAAGCAGAACACTTTTCTAAATTAATTTGAATGATTAAAAATTTCAACAATAGCAAGCGATTGTAGAAGGTTATTGATAGAAATCTTTTGTTCACTGTGTTTACAAAATAAGTTAACTATTACCTTAGGTTTTCTTGTTGACCTATATTTCTACAGTCCTCTCCATCTTCAAGTTTTAGTGCAGCCTGGAAAAAAAACAGTTGCTAAATTTAATCATTAATCCCTAATTTTTTGAAGAGATTGACAAAATTTTTCAGGGTCATTTTTAAAAAAAATAAAAGTTGTATTTTTTCATCTGTGCGTATATTTCCTGTTACACACCTCAAACATCACCAGTTAATTCTAAATCAAAAATATGAAGGTTAGCATAAAAAAAATCAAACAATATGTAACAATGATTAACAAGTTTGTCAATAATCGGGATACTGACCTCATAGCTTTGGAACTGAGCAAGAAGATCTAAATCAGCTCCTTTACGAGACATATGTTTCTGAGTAATTTTCTCCATACCATGTTCCTCTAATGCATCAGTTATATCATAAAATGTATCTTGATCTGGAACAGCTCCCAAAACCTAAAAAAAACATAAGAATCCATTCAAATAAGAACTGAAACAATTTATATTGGATATAGCTTATTTTTTCAACTATTGGACATTTGACTAAATTGCTGGGCACTGCAACTCTTATTATTTTTGAATTTGGGTCAAATAAAACATTTCATGTTGATGAGATATCTATTTTTCAATTGGGCATATGCAAAATATGTAATGAGCAATTCCCCAATCATTTTCCATTTTTGATTCCCAAAAATTAAAAGATGTTACCTTATTAACTAAAGTCATTGCATAAACTAAAAGTTCTGAATCACTACCATCTTTTTCATCTAGAATGTTGATAATATTGATCCAAGGACGACCACCTTTAGATGAAAAAAAAACAGATGACATTAACAAAGTTTATTTTAATTATTCAATTTAATATATTGTATGGAACACGAACACAACCTATTTAAAATAATTAACGATTTTCTGTGTCCTTTCCTTTCTTTGTTATTTATCTCAGTCCAAAGATAAATCCTTCCTTACTGAGGCATTTGATTGGTCAACACTGAATATAATTGCCAATCTAAAATGATATGCAAAAGTTTTGGCCTCCTACTTTTAGCAAAGAGAAATGATGTCTTGAATATTTCATTGGTTTTGAAGAGTATTTTATAGCAGACGCCACAGTAAGATTTTCTTAAACTTGTCTCTAGATGTTATTAAAATTAATCAGAGCAATTAATCATTTGACAGACAGAAGTAAAGAAACAAGAAGACTAACCTCTTTTACAATCTACAGCAGCTATAGCTTTCAGTAATTGTATTGTATTCGATTCTGTATATTCTACAAATACTAATAATAACTTTAAAGCTGTTTTCACCACTAATCTTCCCTGTCAAATTAAAATAAAATATTCATTAATACAAGTAGACGAAAAATAAGGAAATATGTTTTCTGCTGCAAAAATTAGAGAGTTGCTGGGCTCTTTTGCATAAGGGAAAAAAGAACAAAAATAATAATACAAATAGCACTCAATGATTACTCTGAGAAAGGTCTCCATCCAAAATGATATTTCTGGTGCATGTAGAATAATATTTATGCGAATTCTCTGCACATAGTATGAAAGATTTCAGTATTTTTCTCTAAAGTCCCAATGATACCCTTTTTATCTCTGAATCAGTATTTTACTCACCCTAGCTGCTAGTAGGGAATATAACCACTGTATAGTGTTATTGTGTCTGATAACTCCCTCCATACCATCAATATATAACATCACTTGACCCAAGGCTACAAAATATACAACTTGATTTTATTATCAAAACTTATGCTTTCACTTCGTTGATTTTTTACAGAAAATAAAACAACAGTAATTTTTATTCCCCTGGAAATAACCAAAATCTTAAATATCTTGTCACATGCTCCATGTGGAACAGCTAAAATGAAAATCACATGTGGAATACTGTCCTTGAATTACATGCTATTCATTTTTCAAATACCATTTCCAAAGGATAAAAATGTGTTGTTTTTTTTATTCAATCAAATTTTCTCTAAGTTTACATCAATACTTAAAGCAAATAAGTGAATAGACAAATTGTGAAAGGTTCAAAATATAACCCATTATTAACCCATTGTTGGAAACTCATCATAAACTTATTCATCCAAGTTTTCTCTAATTATCCAACAATACATAAAGCTAATAAGTGAGAGACAAAATTTTCAATCAATACCCCAAGTGAATAACTATTTAGACAAAATGTCTAGCACTTATTCACCCATTGTTTGGAACTCATCATACTATATATCCATGCATTTACTTTGCTATCAGACACCAAGGAAAATGAGGTGTTTTTTTTACAGAAAAAATAGATTATTATATGACAATAAACAAAGTTATAATATACATTTTTACCTCGAAGTATATAATTCTGGTAATTTTGATCTGCTTCAGCTCCAACTTTAATAAGACAATCCAATCCATCATTATTGACAAACTCATGTACAAGATCTTTATCTTCCTGTAATAAAAACGAAATTTCTTTATAACTTTGTTAAAGTCATAATATCTTATACTACAACCTAAATTTTGAAAAAGAACGTTGAGGCTTTGTATTTAATACTTTCATATAATTCTTAGCAAAAGTAGCGATTTTGGGAGAAAGCTGTTCAATTAGGTAGGTGAATTTGGAAAGAGGCAGAGGGAGAAGGAGGGGAAAGTGGACAGTCTTTGCATCTACTAACAGTGGGCTAGTCAAAGTCCATTGTATTACAGATACAGGAAAGGGCTATGAAATGACTGACTTATTGTATGTCTACCCTGTATTATACACCAGTATTCAACTTGACGTATTTGACAATGGTACTTTACACAATTTCATAAACAGTGTGTGTGTGTGAAATAGCTTTATTTAACGTCTGCTTCCATCGAAGTGATCGATATTGCAGACAGTGCATCCCAAATATTTGACCCAAACTTTAAAAACCTAACAATATGATGGACAGTAAAGGTATACAAAGCCCAACTCATCACCCCCCCCCCCCCACACACACACACACACACACACACACACCCACACACACAAAAATTCAGAGGAATTTTTAAAAAAAATACCTGAAATATCTGTTTCAATGAAAATAATGCTCTTCTTAAATCTCTTCCACTTGAATTTAGAAGTTTTTCTGAAAAACAAAAATATCAATGTTGAGTAAAATATATATAGAAAAAGGTTATAGTTAAAGCTACTCTCAGGTGTTACTTTCCGCTTTATTAAGCTTCTTCAGGCAAACTTTACCAATTCCAACAAATGATGTGATGTAATAATGTCATGGTTACAACCAATGAACTATAATGGATATAATAATATGCACGATAAAATAATATTCATGTATCATTAACAAAATTATTAATTAAACATTTATAATTAAAACATTTTTTAAAACGAAAATTTACACAACTCCAATGTTGATATAACAAAAATCAACACCTTGAATTAAGTGGAAAGTACTGCAAAAACCCAGTTTTCTTTACTAAAACAACTTTATTTCTGTATATATATAAGTCATACATGTCATTATATGGTATATTTAGTATATCTTAAGCCACCTGTTCTAATGAAGCACATACATATTAGGGTATAATGGCTGTCTGATCTAATAAGAGATAACAGGTAATTGATTTTAACTCTACCAAAAAATTATCTGTCAAACAGCTTGTAAACTATGTAACACAATGTAAATAAATCCAGTCAATAGCCTATTAACTTACCAGCCTAATCATTTACTACAAATTAAGATAATTTGGTGTGAAAGGTTAACAAAGGGTCAAATTCAATCCCATAGCCATGTTTTTAAATGAGTGTAGCAATGAACCAGGCATAAATTGAGCCTGGGCTGTTCAATACAAGTTGTTCAATAAATGAAATGGAATGGGGTTTAACATCCTACTGTTCTGCTTCTACTGGCCTAAAGAATGAACGTGTCTTCTGATCTACCAGTATACACTTTATCTACTGGCTAAAATTCATCTTTATGATTAAAGTAAAGTTAACATTTCAGACTGGCATCTATATAAATTCTGTAATGGAATGTTCTAAAAGTAACGGCATGCTATTGTTGATGTCAAGATTAAATATTTTTGTCTTCTACGGTATTAGATATATTTTCTATTCAATTGCAAACTATTAGTATGTTGCAAAAAAAGAAATATACACATATAGATCTACTAAAATTCTCTCTCTGACGTCTGTTTGCGGTGTCTGACTAGACATGTAATTATTATTCATGGATAGCAATTACTTAAATTCCAAATGTCAGGGAATAACGACTGCTAAAACATTTTTGATGTTAACTTTAAGTTTAACAAACAGTGTATGTATGTTTTTCTTGAATTGCAAATTTACATAGCTAATTAGTACATTATCTTTAATTTCTATTTCAATAGAAAAGTAAAGTAACTGTTATATTTCATTGCAAGAGCCTGATTTTTAAAGGAATTTGTAACAGATATGTTACTGAAAATTCTCATTAACTCTTAAATATTGACACAGGTGGTCATAATAAGCATTTTATAGTGTGATCTAGTTAAGTCTAGCAGTATGAAAGAGATATTTAAATATAACAAGTGAATTCTGAACAATCTGTCAACAAATATAATGATTTTCTACCTGGTGGTACAATAAGCGATTAAGTATTATTATATATCTTGATTGCCTAATATGTGAAGATACTGGTAATAAAATATAAAAGTAGGGTATTCCTTTTATCCAATGAATGTAAGTTTTAGTGACGTACATACAAGTTGTTATTTATGGAATCTTTACATAAACCTTTTTGTAAAAAATTAAATTTGGGTCAGAGACAATAACTGAATAAAATTGATAACTGAAATGAAATGCGGGTGCATAAAAAAGTATTACTTTTTGTCCACCACCTTTATAACTGACATTAGCCTGTGGATCCAGGACCAAAATCCTCTACTAGCTTAAAAAAACTAGTTTTCAATTCAATTCACAAAATCTAGTAAATCCTTTAATACAGTTTGTCTGTTTAGTCAACTGAATTTATAGTATAGAACAACCAATAGTGTACATGAGTTTCCTTTAAAAAATATCCCTGCATATCACTGTTCTTTTTTATGTAAAAATACCCCATGTGTGTTAAATTAAATAAACTGCATTAGTCAATCTAGCATAAAATCAATTGTATTGTCATAAAGCCAAGCTTTACCTACAATCTATATTTTGATATGTTATATTCTTAAGAGATTTTATCACTAATGTACTGTTAATGTACTTTACGAACTCCTAACTGTATATATATCCGATATTTGATTTTGTTTTAGCCTAATTTTAGAATCTAGTTCCCCTTCCTATATTTTTTTACTCAACGCACTATTCGAATAACCATTAAGCATCTCTATTAAGTATAGGTAAATTGACATGAATTTGCCTATAGTTGTGAAAAACAAATGTTTTATCCTTTGTTTATCTTCCATGTAACTTATTTCAGGTAAACTCTAAAGTAGTATAGAAAATGAACAATATATCATTGAACTATGCCAAACTTGTCCGAGTCATGCCCTAGTGTGGGCTCAGTATGTGAGGATTATCAAGCTCTAATTCTTAAAGGGAAATAAATTCTACTTTCTGAGCTAACCCTTCTACCTTTATGATGTCTGAGTAAAAGTGAGTATAAAGTAAAATATGCTGGAAACTACCAGAATTTATTGAGCAATATTGATATCATGTTCCAGACCTCTGAAGGTGACTAACAGTTAATTTTGATTCAACTTAACATTATAGTATATAGTATTTAAAGGTCTATCTAATAAATATATACTTGCATCTCATAGGTCAATATAATTATAGGATATATTATAGAGTATACATCATAGTGTGTGATGTAACTAAAGTTTATCTCTATAATACCATCATTACAACCTGTAACCAGGTGTCTAAACACTCTATATTACCATATCAAGGATAACCTTAGGTCATATAATAGATAAATCTACATTACATTCAGTAGTATCTCATACAATTCACTACCTAATGATGTGTGTACAATGTATTAAACAATTTTGTTTTAGCTTTTTGTAAGTGTAAAAAGTTATCAATTACATTTTTTAAAGGTGTTTTTAGTGTTCTACTACCAAATCCAGACAATAATAAAAAGGTTTTAAAGTAGAAATATGACTCTATGTGCCTACCTCAATGTACCCATCATTGAAGTTTGGGGTAACGATTTCTCATGATACAAAAGGCTAGATCAACCACTGTGAGAAAAGAGTTAGGCCACCGTGACCATAAAGGTGATCAAAGCACCAGCAGGAAATCATTGTTTTAATCAACACTATAAGCGGATAAGATTTTTTCTTTGTACAAATTAATCAACCCCTGTAAACAGTTATAAGAGACACCAACCTAATGTTAATAGAATGGGAAACAACCATTTTTTAAATGACTGCAAAAATCAAAATATTTTCTCAAAGTTTAAATGTTGACATGTAATTGCATGTTGTGTCTTTTGTTAATCAAATGTTTATTTATCAGATTATAGTGAAACATGACAATACTACATGTTAGATGATCAACATGGAGTAAGTGTGTAAATATGTATATGTCAGCAAATGTTCATTTTCCTGCATAGCATGTTTTGACAAATACTGACCATGGTCAATAAAATGATCATTCAGATCACTTGATGTGATTGTTAAGGAAATTTCCTTTAAATTTTTTATCAGGAATATATTTTTAAATATACATATACAATGGTGCCTAATTTAGGATAGTGAGGTGGGCTTTGGACTGATGAATGTGTCCAATATACATGTAGTGATTTGGTACAATTATTTTAAATCAAAAATTAATTTCTAATCAATCAGTTATTTCCAAAGCAAGACTAGCTCTTTTGGTACACGATTTAATTAAACTCTAAATTTTTAACACATCTCAAGAAAATTTCATTGTTGGCAATTAGTAGTAATATTCTCTTGAATAAATGTATAAAAAAAACCAAAAAAATCTAGTACGCTGCTCCATTTAAAGAATGAGTGTTATACTAAAATATTTCAATTCAATATATTCTGAGTGATCAAAGGGCAGAGTTCAAAATTTCAAGTGTTTAACAAACATGTTCATTAAAATGGCAGCCTTTAGCCAAAATGCCAGCATTGAAATGATCAAGTCACTGCAACAAAATCACAATAGACTGGGCTAACATAATATTTTCTTTCTTAATTCCCACTGGTAAAGAATGTCTTCTTGTATTGTGAAGAAAAGAAGTTAGGAATTTAGAGTAGTGTGAGAATGAGAAGGAATTCCCCATAATTCAAATATCAATCATAACATAAAACTTCTATAATAACACTTCACAAACCATATAATAGTCAGTCGTCTGTGGTTATAAATCACTATCAAACAAACTGATTTAATTTACCCCTATACCATGACAATCTGTTGAATTCATTTTATAATGTCAATATTTCATTAAATCAAGTATTTGTAGACTATAATTATCACTGACACCATCAATATAAAGAATGTCATCCTAAACTTCAGAATTGATGTTCTCATCCTTAATGTTAAGAAATCAAGAACCACTTAATATTGATGAGTATTCAAATTTTATTCTATTATATTATGTCTCTATCCTATAGGGTCGGCTTTGCTGTGTTTAGAAAGAACTATGCAATGTTAAGTAAATTACCATAGATATAAAAAGGCCCACCATTTCATAGAATAATTGAAATATTTCCTGTAAGTATGTTTTTAGGGTGCTTAGAAATGGCTTAAAGCTGTCAAATACTTTCAATTAAAATCTGTAAAGAAAACATTTAAAAACTGCCCCTTTATTTTAAATAAACGACTTTGAGAGTCCATTTTGTTTAATTCTGGTATGTCATAAGTGATAATATTAGTGTTTAAATTACAGTGTGAATATCCTTTTTATACATTCTCTCATCTTTCGTGCATTTATATAATATGCAGTAAATGGAATCATTAAAGCTATTATTAGCAATAAACCGCCCGGGGCTTCTTAACATATTTTGTAATAAATCATTGGGAAGAAAAACCAGCAATGAACTGTTACTAAATTGCATGATTAAAATGAATATTTATTTGGTGCTCACACAAATATTACAATATTTGAATTCAAATAGTTTTTCGTTATTCAATGTCAATAAAAACTCATGTAATTCAACCAATTTTTGTTTGATATGGAAAATACTTAATAACATTAATTCAATATAAATATTCAAAAATAAGTACACAGGAGAATATCGATTTGAAAGATACGCAGTTTATAGAGTGAAAATGCACCAAATATTGTCAAAATATTATTTGAATAGAATATTCAAACAGCATTCAAATACATGTAATAACTTAAAATATTCAAACAGTAAAACCAGCATTCAATCTGATCAATATTTTTCAGTAATTTAACTTACCGATAATTGCATGAACTCTTACAGTAAGCTGGGTTCGAAGAATAAGTGTGTTCTTTCGTCTGAAAGATAAAAAAAAAAGCAAACAGATGCAAATTATCATTTACTTAAACATACATTATGCAAGATTTAAATCTGCCTATTGCAGGTCTTTCTTTGGGTCTGAAATTAGTGAAATGTTATAAACTATTAATTAGACATTTATTAACATGAAAAGACCTTAATCAACTCTTTATGTCATCTTATGTGTCGGATGTTCACTGGATTTGAATCTGATTTGCTGCTCAATGCTCATTGATGGTTTAATACAAAATGGATAATCGAGACTATCTATTTTATTGTACTGACTTTAATAATGATGATCGAGGCTAGGCCAAAAATTAGAATGCTAATATATCGGTTCAGAGTGGAGCAATTTCACTAGAATTTTCAGCATATTCCCTTATATTATCTAGTTTTTAACTATTATAGTGAGAACTGCCAGCTGTTTATCTAATCTTCCATAATGTATCTTTAAGGAATTATAATAAATAGCAGTGAATGCCCCTAGTAATGTACATTTACAATTGTCAATAAAGGAATGTGTTCTAATGTGTTTCTTTCTTTATCATATTTTCAAGTGTGATCCATTGTCACGTCAATATATTATTGTTCTTTTATCAATGAAACTGTCAGTTGTCCAGGCAAATCAATGGCTGGGTAAATAGACTTTGTTAGGTTGGATGTCCAACTAGGACACAATAATAAGTAAACTATGATGAAATGATGGAGATAAGTTAGGGTAACCTAAAGGGAAAGAGAGAAAAGTCAATAAACCATTTATTTGATGAAAGTGTTTAAATTCAGGGACATGATGTAACTATGGTGTCTAGTCAATTTAATTGACTAAATGAAATGAATTCATAGATACCAGTGCAAGCAGTCAAAAACACAAATCTAACAGACTTGATCCAGATTCAGATCAGACTGAAGTACAAGTTAGACTAACTACCATTAAATTATCAAAATCCAATCTTCGCCACATTGGTGTAATGTTTAAAACCTATCTCTATCTATTGAGATAATAATTTTCTATCGTGGAAGAAAAAAACTTAGATTAAAAAATAAATGGGTGTATTAGTGAACATAAAAATATACTTAAATTAGATATTTCTTATCAGAACCAAAACAGTTGAAATTTTACCTACAGATATATCTATGTCTATCATATTCTATTCAGTATTCAGGTCCCTTTGTACCTATATGGGGGGTTGGATGGCCGAATGGTTAGCATGTGTGTGCTGTATCATAAGGCCTGTCATTGAGTCAACTGGCGTGGTTTCGAATCCCCGGTTGTACGTGACAAGGAGTAGGGTCGCCTGTCCAACCTCGTTGGTTTTTCTTGGGTCCTCCGGTTTCCTCCCACTGCTAAAGACCCCTACGCGCAAGCGAATTATTGAAATAAAATTAAACCATGTTAGTCCCCAAATGACCTAGTTTGTGTTGAGTGGGCATTAAACCCCCATCAAGTTGATATTAACCATTTAGATATCAGTTTTATGGTATGTACATCTATAAATAAGTATATTGTAATATTATATTAATCAATGTTCTAATCATATCTTCTACATCAAAAATTGATTTTACAACATTTTTTGTAATCTTCACATTTAAAGTCAGTAGTGTGATAAGCAATGGTGGCCGGATGAACAGACGTCTGAGTGACGACAATATACGACCAAATTTAAATGTGGGTGTATAACAAAATGACGCAATGAACATGCACATTATTTATTTTCTGTATATTAAAACAACCTGATGGAGACATCCTTAATTTAGGGACCAACATGCATGTCTTATTTACATTAAAATAGTATTGATTTATTTGAGTTTTTAGATTCATGCATAAGTGAATGATCTGGCTTTCTGTGCCTCTTAATAATTATACTCTCTTTCGCCATGTAGTCTGCTGCATACAGAGGAACATATTCGTCTTTTTTACATTTATCACAAATTCTTATCTGATTTCTTTACGTACATGAGAAGGTTATATTTTGAAATGAATGTCAGCTGCTTATCAGTTTACTTTGTTCATTCATCTGTGTAGGACATATACAGGTATTATACAGGTGAAGGATTTTAATGATCTTATTAGTGTACTTTATCTTCATTAAAAAAAATCATACTCATTTCATAATCTCTAGAGAATTTAGTATATCCCATTAAAATATTGAAGCTCTCTTAAGAGCTATAATAATAATAGTTCATTTTTTCCAAATATTTTTCAATAAATGAAGAACATGACTGGGGTTTGATTTTTTTTTCTGTCAACACTTTACTTGTTCTTTATGGTCATTTGTCTTTTCGATTTAGAGCTTTGCCCATACAGTGGCATTTTTCCCTAGTTTTTGACATGCACTAGCAATTTGTAGATGAGACCTAAGGTATAGTACCATTTACATATGCAGACACACTTTCTAAGATTTTCAATGTCCCATGTTGGGCCACTTAACCCCCTTCAATCCACCGAATACTATTCAATCATGAGAAAACTGGTCAGAGATAAACAATAAACCCTTTCTATTCCATAACTTTGATACATATTGATAATATTTCAATAGCATTACATGTAAAATCTCTTTTATACCTTCACTAAACAAATATAACCGTAGGGGGTCTACTTTTGTGTTTTCAAATACATTCAGTATGATGACATTTATTTCATGTCAAATTTATCATAAATGCAGATACTGTAAATGTAGTTCAGCATGTTTATTTCTATTCAGTACATGTATATTAGGAATCTACAATGTGAATCAAAGACATACATGTAATATGAATCACTGACTGTGTTATAGTCTATTCTTTGTAAAGTTACTTGATATTTTTTTTATGAACATTCAAAAGAAAGTTATTCAATGGGTTAACATATTTAGTATGATTCATGTTTATTAAATTCTGAACTTTGACTGGATATATCTTGTGACCCCCCCCCCCCCACCATATTTATGTTAATAAACTAAAATAAATACAATTATTACATTAAAGCAGCTAAGCCTATTTGATTTAGGTCAAAATAAAGTTTTTAATTGGGATGATCTGATGTGTGATTTTGATTAATGATGCAACGAACTTGAACGAACTCTACTCAAATAATTGGTTTTTAAAACATTACTGTTAATAAGAAATTGGTATGTTTACAAATTACGGGTGACCTACATGTACTGTGTCAGTTATACAATATTGGTTTTATTTAAACACATAAAATGCAAGCAACGCAATCGACAATTTCACTTTTGATGCATAGCAATGATGTGTAGCCATTTCAAGTATCTTAATACTTTTTGAAAAGTTTATCCAAAAGTTTAATTAAATCATATGTATTTTGTTCATTTATACATTAATAATAATATTGTATTGTGATGAGAAAGTACTAATTTTTTTCTTATTTTATTTTATTTTTTTAAAATTGAACTGATATCTAATAACTATGTGTATATATTTATTATGAGACCTGTTAAAAGGAAGTGTAGTGCTGCAAACCATGGGGGGTTATCAACCAGACAGGAACTGCAGCCAAGCATTGATGATTCTCTCCAAAAATAAATGGTAATGTCATACACGGACATGTATTTTGGGAGATAGTATGTGTTCAACATCATGTAAACTTATTCACACTATTGCTCTTTAATAAATTAATACTAACACAACAGCCGTCATCTCTTTCTGTGCTCATACTAAATTTTAAGGAAGATTCTTCAAATTCTAATAAAAATTGCCAATAGTTTTTATTATTTACCAAAATATATGCATAAGAACTCCAGATTATATTGGTCTAAGTTTTGTACCAAATTTCCATTTTAACACAAAATACAAAAACTTGAAAAGTACAGGTTTAAAATTTGTAGTTGAGCAATAGTGCACCAGATGTAGGGATCTCCATAAGATTATGTGTCAAGTATTAAATACGTTCAATGGGATCAGTGTTTTTAGCACAGTAGAGCCTCGTTACAACAGACATTGGGAATCCATTGTTGTATCTTATTATTGGAAGAGGACTTAATTAAAGTAAATGACAGGTGCATTGCCAAAGAGATGGAATGCTGGATTGCACGAGGTTGAGTTGTTGTGATGTATAACTTAATCACCTCCACCCTAACAACAAGTTGTGGAATTTGAATCATTGGAGTTTTTATCTGCAACCAGGATCTCAGTTGGTAAAAACTACATTTAACATTTTTACAATCGATAGCATGTTCATGTCTTAATAAGTAAAGCCCCAAATGACACCAAAATCAGAATAAAACCAACTTAAGCTTGATTTTTCAATTGAAAATCTGATTAACGATACTTTGATACTTTATTTCAACCTAAATTAAAGAGGTGTAGCATCTTAAAGTTCTAGCTACATGTACCTTAACTACCAACTCCACATGGTATACAGATTTAAATTAACAACAGCTAGACAGAGAAATGGGACTTAATGGCCATTCAATACAAATTAGGTCATTTGGGACTGACATGCAGTACAACTTTATTTCAATTATCACTTAGGGTCTTGAGAGTGGGAGGAAAATTGAAGACTCACAGAAAACCTACAAGGTTAAAGTCTCAATACCACTCTTGCTGTAACTGAATAATATGTCCCAATCTTTATTCTGGTCAACAAATTGTACTATTTTAGAATATTCCAATTAATTGATGACACAAATTTCATCTTAACACACCTTATTTAAAAATTTTGAAAAATTCAACATAATGGTTTGAAATGTCTAACGTAAACCTTTTCAAATGAAACTTCGATTTAAAAATATTTTCGAACCCTCTGGACAAGTAAAATAGGATGTAATGGATAATTTACACAACAGGTAGGACACTTAAACATCTATTACTTAGATAGAGATATTATTTATTTTCTGGAGCTTTCAAGCCAGCAAGAGTGTTATTGTCCCTTTAAGCATGTAACCTAAATTCTTGTCATGTACAAGTTTGGGATTAAAACCACACATCACTTTAACTCAATGACAGACCTTAAGAACTAAAGCACACATGTTAGACCAGTCACCAGTCATCCACCCACCCATAAATTAACAAATAAAGAAGTTATCATTGTCATTCTATGGTATGACATAACTAGATTATTTACACCACAGACACAACACATTCAACAACAATCAAGTTTCATAAGATAAAATCATAACAATGCCACACCCACTGTTGAAGATTATTACACTTTTACTAAAGGGATAGAGAAACCCATGAAAATATCTGTTTCGCAAACAAACCAGGTCCTTGTAAAGAATTTCATTATAGGGCATGTTTACAGTTAGAAACAAAAATTTGTCAACGCTAAGATATTTCTTATTGATATTTCACTATTATTTCATACAGTAAAGTGTTTGCTGACATACACTACATGTATATGGTTCTGATCAATAGAGTGTTGTCTTGCAGTTGGGTCATTTAAACAACAGTCAACCACGTGTGTGAAATCCAAAGCTTAATATATATATATATATGGTTACTGACAATTAACTACAACAAATGAATAATAACTTAGTCCTAAAAGATTTATTCACTCTTAACTTTATGATCACATTGAATCAGGTGTCGACCAAAACACATCTAGAAATCTGCTGTTATTACATTTCAAAGTAAAAAATATATTCATGTACTCAAGTGTTCGAGCGGAAATATCAGAGATACAGAGAATAGATAAAAATACTTTTTGAATGTCAACACACAGTCCAAGTGACTGAATATTAATGAAAACAGAAAGAAGGGCTCACTTTTATGATTTAACAATATATAATCTATTCTTTCTTTTACTTTAATCTCATTTACTTACCTTCTACTCTGAGGTTTTGAGCATTCACTTCAAATATTTTATAGAACAGATAAGAAAATACAACTAGATATATTGTGTCAGCCTTATTTTAAATCAACTAGAACATTTTGACATATGATTTATCCATGGTATGTCTGGGGACAGTGAAATAAATGCCTATGATTAAAATAGCAGTCATGTATGGCATATTTTTATTTCAATCAATCGCCTTCGAAAACACATGCCGTTAGACTAGTAACTGAACTCCTTGTTACGTACAAACTTGGGAAAGAACCCACGACTTGCATAGATAACAGATGTTACGATCTACAGTACACATATTTGAGCACTCGGCCACTCAAATTTCCAAACAAGGAGAAATATAATTTCTAAATGTCCACTTCATTTTGCACAGAGGTGTTAAATTTAGACAAATTATCTTTGAATGGACAATTGGTAATGGACTTTAAAAGATGTCCTGAAGGTCCAGTTAGTAGAAGCATACCATGTGAATACTGCAACCCTGTATTATTTGTCTCAAGTTTTGTATGAGGAACTGTTTCGTTCCATCAATTTCATTTCTTTTTTTTCTTCTTTTTTTTTTGTAGACAGAAAAGGAAGCTATAAACATATTTTATCACTATCAGTGTAGAATATAATATAGGCCACTGTGCTCATTAAGATACATACATCAAGGGATTAAGGTAATTTAAACAGTATTAATAGGTAATGGAATGTAGCACAAATTTATAATTAATCAATATGTCTATTTTAGAATGATGACAGCCATTGTTTGATACATGTAGAGAACATTGTAAATTATTTAGCATAACAGAATTGTTACAGGAAGCATAGAATCAATTTGTTAATATGTAGATGAATTTTATTTGTTTTTATTTCAAACGGCATGAAAGCTTTGCATTAAGATATTCTGGGATAATTTTGAAGAACTTTGTAATGGTTTTCTCATAGTTATATCAACCATTATGGTTCAAGCAGTGTATTGGGAAATAACTTAGTTACCAAGAAAAACAGAAACACATTTCTGACAAAACAGATACACCATCCTACACTAAGCATGAAGAAATGCAGAAAACCAATCTATCTTAAGGTCTATAATAACTGGCTCTCTATATAATGATCAATGCAATTCATTATTCCTTGATAGATTCTATGCACTATTAGAAAATCAATTCTCATTATTTGCCAATAGACCATCTTTCACTCTCCCACATAAAAAACCCACTTATTATAGTTAGGCAACCTTTATAATGAACCATAGGTACATGTATGTTCAGTCAATTAACCAGTTGGGCCATTTCAATTGTTAGAGTAGAAATAAAATGAAATCAGGTTAACATTTAGTAAATGTTTTACCTAGGTCATTTTGACACAAATTGTTATATTTTATTCACTTCAGTCCCATGCATCCTGTGATGGAGAATTTTGCCTAGAGAGTGAAATTTTCACCTACATGTGCCAAATTCTTCCAATGGTCAAACATGATACTACAAGCAATACAAATACATTATCGCAAATGGGAATCAAGGACGCTATCTAACAGTCTAGAACAACCTTGTGATTTCCAGCAAGTTTTGTCAACTTGTAGTGATGCACAGCAGATTCTTGTTAAAAATGAACTGTATTGACAAGAAGATAACACGAATGCCGATTGTAAGATTAAAATTAATCCAGTTTTAGCGAGGATGCTAAGGAAGCCACCAAGCCTATCATTAAAACAGTCTCAGACTGGTATTTCATTTTGCATGCACGGTAAAGCGAGAATTACTGAACCAAGGCAAGAGCATCCATTCCTCTATGTATACTGTTTCATATAAAACAATAAATTAATTGTTTAGATACCACTTAACAAATAATAGACTGGATTAAAAGAAGAAATACTCACTCTTGTTGGAAACCTTCAAGTTCCTCTGATTGTTCATCAATACTCGATTCTAAATCCAAATAAGTTCCATACTCTCCCTGAGAGGCACCACTATGATAACGATATATTTGAAGAGCACAATCCTCTAACTGAAATAATAATAATAGCATTATTTTTACCTTACTTTATAGACAACTAGTACATAGGGCTACCTTTTAAACAAAGTATTACTAATCTGCTCAGTTACCTGTTAAGCCATATTAACCCACAAATCTATAATATTATGTATAATTACATAATGCAAATGATTGCCTAAGCTACTATATATCAATCATATTTTCATTCTGATAATATCTAGTTTTAACCAACCATTCAGACATGTGTAATTACAAATTAAATGCATTAAGGTATGATTCTCATAAACTAAACTTAACATAATGTCATTTTATAATAAATGAGGGAAAAAATATTTCGAAATTATAAAGCATACTTATTCAAAATACAGATTTATTTTTAAGGAATAGAGCAAGATTTTTTCTTTTCAAGATTGATATTTCTTGTCAACTTTTCTTTTGACAAGACATGTCGTCAACAATTGTATTAAAAGTTGAGTTTTTAAAGAAAAATAAATCAATACATATATAAACATGACATCCAACTGAAAGAATATGGCAAGAATTCGAAAATATAAACAAAGTCCAACCCAATACGGGTGTATTTAGGCTTTTCTAAGGTTAGTTCACTCTCACCTGGATGGTTTGGCTACCTTTTTCTTTGATGTTGTTGATAGCCGACTTTAGCTAAAGAAGTGTGTATCGTCTACACTGATATCCACAATTATTGTATATTAAATGTATATTATTCAATTTTGTTAATTAAACACCTATATGTATTACCTATACCGTATATCACATGTTGTTTTTATAATCCAAACACCTGAATTGAATATGTAAATTAACTTCCTCGCTATTACACGGTGAAAAACGGTAGAGGTGGAGAAACACTTACCTTGTGTGGTGATTTTAATAATTTGTGAGCTCCTGCTACTTGATTTATCAAAACAGTAGTTGTAAGGAATGTATAACATGGCGGACGAGTAGGTTCAGGAAAACTAGTGTTAGAAAATGGATCACGATCGTCTAAATATTGAATCCTACAAGTAAATGTCGCCATTATATTCTGTCATCTCTTCGTTCGTCTGTAATAATAACCTTTCACCTGTTAGTGCGCATGGGCAACGTCTGTCCTTTGACGATGTCCGCGGAATGTGGCTTGGCTTGTGTGTTAGCTAATCTTTCTCAAACGAGATTTATGATATTGAATTACTGAAAAACGTCGGCCTATACCCATTAACTTTATCTGTGCCCTGCTAGTTATCGGTCCACCGTCCCTTGAGATAAGTTGTTTTGAAAAAATATAGCAAAAAAAAAAAAAAAAAGAGAGACCCCAACCATCGCATGCACTCACTTCAAAGTTGATTTATTCGGTATAAGGTAGGAGTAAACGGAAACTAACGGTACATGAGTGTGGGTGTTAAGTTTGAAATAAAAAGATAACAACGTAAAAAATATATTAATATATTATGGTTTGTGTTTTTGACCTTTTACTGTACAAGATGTAGTATTTAGAATGTAAACATTACATAGAAAACACTAGTTTGTTTACTGAACTTTTATTTGATGTCAATTTTCTTAAAGCATATGTAAACTGATTACCTGGACTGTATTAGTTTCGAGAATTTGATCAAAAGTAAACAAATAAACGAATAACATAAATAGTACTTAAAAAATAAATCAAGCTATAACCGCATGTATCCTCCCGACATCGCTTTAATTTTGAAAATAATATTAAACCTAAAATTTCAAACAGTTTAAGACCCCTTGGTACTAGATATTTAAAATGGTTTAAAAGAAAAGAATGGGGATTAACGTCATTATGTCTTCGAACATTTTTTAAGACTAATGTGGTTTTTAAAAAATTCATAAAGAAATCTTATGGTTTAGGTGCAATACGAGGGGAACATTTTGCCCTGGCTGCGTCGTTTTCATCACACGTTTCTTCATATTCTAAGTGCGTTAAAGGGCCTTTGATGTGGACAATAGATTAATGGTTTCTGCTCCCATCCGAACGTCTGAGAACACTATGTTACCCCCAACAACTGGTTAAATGGAAAGTTTAATAAGGTAACTAACAGTAAGCTAAGGGACAATTTGACCCTTTCCATCAGCACCGATTTATCGATATCATCTGTTTATAAATACTCAATATATAAGATCAATAAAATCGTTTTACTTTGACTTAACTGAGTGAATGGACTGTTAAGGTTGTCCATTTGTCAGATATCATAATTTATAAGCTAACAATCAACTGTGATGTTATTAGCATTATAATCTACATAATATATAGGTGATATACACACCGCATTCATATTACATTTACGTTGTACACAAACGACAAGAATTAATGCCCCCCCCCCACAAAAAAATAAATAAATAAATAAATAAATAAAAAATTATATGTTTGCTGTATGGGATCCGTTCCGATATATTATGAAATTATCGTGGCCGTTTTAAAATGACCCCTATTTTTTACAGCACACGTCAATAGGGTTGTTTTTTAAAGTTGGCAGTTCTATTAAGAAACGAATGAACGTACAATTTTCGTAGCAAGATCGCAGAGAGCACCAGATTAATATAAGCTTCTAACCCTAACACCTGTTTGTTTGATATTGGTCGGATAGTCAGTTGCGATCACTGGTTTTACATTGGTTAATGATCACTGCGTATACCTATTGACCGCTGGTTTGTCACGATTAGGAAAGGAATCAAGAACAGTCTCTTTGGGGATCAGGAAAAAGAAAGAAAATGAAATCCAAAGAGCAGATAACACAAGTGCGCGAATGTTTTTATATTATTGGCAGACAACAATAAGCTACCTAATAGTGTTGGAATGTGCCACTGAGTTGATCATATTATACCCGTTGCTCTGGCAAACAATATTCTCTTTTTAATATTTATAAAAGAATTACGCGCCTGTTACAATACTAATAGTTTAAATGACATTTGTACACCGTAAAATGTGGTAACTATTTTAATTGACCTCTACAAGCCCAATTTCAAGGTTTCCCACAAACCAATCCACACAACATGACTGTTGTCAACAAAAGCCTTTGTTCCAATTCGGAAAAATCAAAGTTCAAACTGTTATAACGAGTGTTATCGATGTAATATACCCACGTCCGTTATATACGATGTAGGTATGGCATTTCCTCGTATAACTGAATTTCTAAATGTTCGTATATGAATGAATGATGCACTTATTATTCCGGAAATTATTTACTACTTAACTTATTAGACCGTAGTACGATATTGCCATGTGATATTTACATTTTATATTAATAAAATATTTAAGAATGTTTTAGTTTGATATCGTTTCAACATCTCTATTGGGAAGCGGTCGCCCTCAAAGCTAATACGAGTTAGCTCCCATTAGTAATATTTGTTTCCTATCTTTGGCACTCGAATTTACCCCGCAAGATCCTACATCTACTGTTCGTTTAAATCATTCATTGTTTTTTTAAACTTACCTGCAATTAAAATCCACAATATAATCTCCAAATCCAGAAAGCCAGACATTTAAAAAACAGACTAATCATTAATCCCGATTTAGGAAAATCGGACTTCCGCAAAGACACGGTTTATACCGCAGTTTCATCCTATAAAATACTTTTATATCTAAATTCGCGTTTTAAAAATATATAAATATTCTGAGACCGTAATAGTAGTCCGAATATCTAGTCTTTATAGATTTGTCATACTACCAAAAGACTCACATTAGGGTTGTGGACCTATAGCTAGTACCTAATATTCCTTCTTGACATAGCTAGAATAAATCTTTCAAAGTTTTGTGTTTGTATGTCGTTTACTAAAAGACTTGATGTCGTAAGGGAAAGCCCTACTAGTCCACTTACCTTTCAGGTAACCTACACTTGTAAAAATCTTTAATGAGTTCTTGTAATAATATTTAAGATATCATCACCACGAAACATTTTCAGATAAATTATAAATGTACTTTTAAATTTTAATCACATATTTCCTACTTCAAATCAAAACAATATCATAATCTACATAGTTGTTATAAGTTAATCAAATTTACACACCCCCTTTGCTTTCGGTCAAAAGAAACACGATCGATTTCATACGTCGCTAAAATGTTATATCTTTAGATAAAGCAAGATATATCCGATTTTATTTTCCACTGTCGAGACAGTAAGCCAAAACTTAAACTTAGACATCTGCATAATCTTTCGAAACAAAATGTATTCGTATACAGATTGTCTCATCACTAATCGAAATAACACGGAAAACTTTATTTTGACTTACATCACAAAGGTTAAGCAAATGACTATAAATTCAAAATCGTCATCGACAGAAAAACTTCAATTAGAAATTATATACTTGTTTATCGATATGAGTTTTATTTTTTTAAATGTCAATAGAGAGAGAGAGAGAGAGAGAGAAAAACATACCTTACTGACATCAATTCCAAGATTCTCCAACATGTCGTTACCATTGGCGTATCCTCTAAAGTTGACGTCGTCAGAACTACCTGGGACTTCAATGACTTTAGGTGTCGCTGGTTTTTCACAGAGTGCAATGAAATCTGATATAGCGACGAGACCTTTCTTCTGTTGTAAAGTGACCCACATGGCCTGCGCTGTTGGTGAAGGTTTGCCTCTTCCGCTCTTTGGCGCTGATTGCTTAATAGCTCTTTCCGGTTGTATTTGTTCATCGTCAATGTCAATGAGTTTGTCATCATGAGATTTTGACTGTCGCATCGTAGGCGATCTATTTTTATCCTTTTGTTGCTTAGCTTCAAAAGAATAACTGCTTGGACGCTGTTTCTTTCCTTCATACTGATTAAAATCATATCGGTCGCCATTCTGTGGACTTGGTGACTGGACGGGGGATGGTTGAAGAGGGGCATGTGGGTGTGGTGGTACTGGCGAATCGAGGATGTAGCGTCCATTTTGATGGCTCCTACGCTGTTTATCTTCGTCGCATAACACATTATCAATGTCCTGAACATTACTGATGAATCCGGCGCGAGAGTTCTTAAGTTTTCGATTTCGTTTAGTATTGTCCGCTTGATTATAATCACCTTCCGGCGGTACCAAATCTGGAAGAGTAGCATTTGAAGCCAGAGAGTGTTGTGACACAGAATGTTGCATGTTGCGATCATTTTCATCGTAATAATCATTCGAAACATTAGATTGGGGCCGTTTTCTGTTGTCATGACGATATTGATCATCAACCGAATTCTGCCTTACTAGTTGTGGATGTCCACGGTCGCTCAGTATGTCTTCCCTTGAGCCCTGTCTACTTGAGCGACCAGATCTACCATGTCGACTGTTTCTGTTTGGTGAATCTTCTTTGTTAAACCCGAACTGTGAACCCGCACTATCACTTGCCTCCCAATTTTCACGTCGTGATTTGCGCCTGTCGTCCAAAATGCTTTCACGAGAACTATCTCTTTTCATCCTAGATGATCCATGTCGCATTCTATTGGGAGAATCGTCTCTGGAAAAGGCTTCTGAGGAACTGCCAGATTTTTTCATTCCCTGACGAGCAGCTTGATCGGGTGGGTAAGCGTTGTTCGATTTGTTTAATCTAGATTTTCTGAAGTCTTTATTTGGAAGCTTTTCGTCATAGTCATCATCTAAAATACTATCATTTGACGCAGAACGTGAATATTGGCGAGAACGTCGGCCATCGAAATTACTTTCGGCGCCAACTCCTGGTCGACGACGCATGTCTCCAGGATTTTCGTCATCATAATATGTCGGTGATGGTAGTTGTTGCTTCCACTGCTTAACCTTTTCAATACTTTCCCTTAATGACAAATTTTCTGGTGTCAGAGGCGGCTTTTCCCGCCCAGCTTTTCCCTCGGGTTCCATTTCGTCTAAAAGCTCCTTACTCGAGTGTCTTTTTCTCCTAGGTCTTTCATCTAACATATCTTCCCTTGATGAAGATCGACTTGGACCGGATCGCCTTTGACCCCTTAAGTCCTCTGCAGCACTTACATATTCTTCACCACCTCCCCGTTCGCGTCGCCTTCGACTCAGTCGACTACTTCGATCATCTTCATCATTTGCTATACTGCGCGTGTCTGTTTCAGTGTCCTCCATTGGTGGTCTTGCTGGTGCAGCTTCCCCATAGACTGCTTGGCGCCAAGATGATTTTTCTTGTGGCGCGTCAGATTTATCCCTGTAACTGGACTTCGAGCCATAGCTACCACGCAAGCCTCTACTACTTCCACCACCACCACCACCACCAGAAAAGTTTGTACTGGGCATTGCGGGGATTGATGGTGCTAAGAACTTGTCGCGATATTTATAGAATGTATTAGAATTTTCGTTATCGTCCAAATTTTTCGGTAGTCCCCTAGGTTTACGCTGCTGTTGTTCTAGATTTGTCTGGGTTGCACAATCAACTGTGTTGTGTCCGCGTCTTCCGGAAACACGTCTGCTGGGTGCCTTAACTCGTTTTGTTTTGGCTATTGATGGCTCTTTGTTTTTTTCTTTTTTTTGCTCACCTTCCTCTGGTATAGGTGATGTACCGCGACAAATTAAAAACTTTCCAAACCTTTTTTCAGCTTCGGGAGAACTGTCGTCTGATTCTGAATCTGTTATTGGTCCTCGAGTACGGATTCCAGATGGCACAAACGACGACTGTGAAGGCCTTCTTTTAGGAGTACTATCAATGGGGGTACTAGCTGCCTTAGGAGGGCCGTCGAAACCACCCGAATTTTGTCTATCGTAACGTTTAGTTACTGGTGATACATCTGAACCACTTTTATATGAATATGTTGAATATGGTGATGCACTGCTACTATAATCATACCTGGAAGATCTGGTACTCACTGGAGAACCCTCGCGACTCCCACCCCCGTAGCTACGACCCGATTTGGAAGATGTTCGATCCCAGGAACCCAATGAACGTGGACTTCCACCGTAATCTGACAAATAACCACTTCTGTTAGAAACCCGGTCAAGAGACGAATATCTATCACGCCCTAGCGTGCTTCTATCAACTGATGGATAGCGATTCGAAGAATATTCATATGATTTTGGTTCGGCAGCGAATTTTTTCATTCTGTCCTTTACACTGGAGGCATTAGAATTGTTATATCTGCCTGGGTCGTAACTAAGACTTCTGCTCGGGGTACCGTATGAAGATCCCCGGTTATAACCACTGTTGTAGGCAGAACTTGGTGAGTTATATTTCTTGCTAGTTCCCATATCATGGAGCTGAAAAGAGAAAAATAAGACACTTAAGAAAACGTCCAGGACTGAAAGTACGTGTAATTAAGATTGTATGATAATGCATATTAACTGCGTTACAACTTTAGCCGTATACCCTACTTTTTCCTACAGTCAGAGCGACCAGGTAATTGTAGAATTGTAGTAGTTTCGTGTAAAACCTTCCAAATAAACGATGCACATAAATCACAGCATGTGAATCTCAGAGAACTTTTAATGAACCGAACCCCGATTATTAAAACAATGTGCGCCTCTTAGTTCAGTAAATGCGTAGTTAACCCAAGGAGGAAAGCCGTATCGTGGATTCATTAAAACGTTAATTTTTCCAACATCTGCCACAAAGTAACCCAATGAAGATAAATCTATTATGTAGTGCGGCACTAATAAGCACAGCTACGTATGTCTGACTATGCGGAGGTAAGCATGAAAAAGTACGATGCATGGGTCGCAACTGCTATTATTTTTTCATCCTAAACTAAAATCTAATCTAAGGTGTTGCATTTGTAGTTTTTACCAGGTTTAGAAAAATAAGTGGCACTAAAATTGTATTCTTATGCATTACTTTGTTATTCTTAAATTGAAACTGAAAACTAAAATGAGTAATTCAAAACATATATAACTACATAGTTCTGATTCTAGTTTATCTTTCCTGTTCACGAAGAACATTTCTTATAATAAGTAACAAAGTTGCTTACTATTTGTGTTTATTTCCGAATGTAGTGTGGGGAAAATAGTATTCATGGAAATTTCAGTTTACTTTTGCCTTTCTAAAAATACATTTGCCCCATTTTTGAAACTTTGAAACATGGCACTGACATGAATAACACTTTTGGCAATGTGTCAAGTAAATGAACCCACTATCAGTTAAAAGGTGTTCCCTTTTCGTTTTAACACACTGAATATTATTACAACATTTGTCTTCATAGTTTGTCTTTTTTCCGTGTTCAATTGGCCCACACTTCAATATGCCACAAGCGGGTAAAGTAAACATGTATATGCAAATCAAACGACAACAGGTAAAGACTTTCAACCTGCCTATTGCAGGTCTTTCTTTAGGCCTGAAGTGTTATATAAACTATTAATTAGACATTATTTAACAAAACAAGACTACAATCTACTCTTGATGGCATCGGATACTTGAGATTTTAACTAAATTAATTTAAAAATGGGAAAGCGAGGCTAAATTTCGAATATACCAGTGCCCTGGTTACAATTACGCACGCATCTTGTCAAAACTACAAACACTGATAACGTGGCTCAGAATGAAGTAATTTGAATGAAATTTTCAATATTTTCATTTTACATTATCTATTTTTTGTGCTATTATAGCAAGGATGGCCAACCCTTTATCTAAATCTTACATAAGGTATCTTTAAAGGACAATATTGGTGTCAGTCATCATCACATATGTGATAGAACTGGTTAAACACGTTCCAAATATAATTTTAACAAAGAGATCTTTGCTACGATAGATGCGTTGTGAAGCTTTAAAGAAAGGGAAGTGAAGAACGTAAAAGGAAAACACGAGTTATCTTTACCAGTTCCATCATATCCATATGTAATAATGACTGACACCAATATTGTCATTTATAAACTAGTCTATTATTCTGATTATTTGTTTTATCACTTAATAGAGTTGGAGATAACCAGACAGTTAAATAACAGACGTTTATCAGATCCAACACAGTGAAAGTAGGCTGGTAAACACTTCTTTATTAAATAATGAACAGTGCTTCTAAAATCACGTTAAATCATGTTAATAGGACTTGGGAAATTTTTAATTATCATAAATCTAGAGTGAACTAGTACTAAGAGGCCACAGCATCTTTATTTTTTGTAGTATAGCCCGAATAACAAGAGCTTAAAATAAATCTATAGAGTTCAGGAATAAAAATAAGGGTAAAATTTGTTAAGAGGTAACAATAATGAGTACTTTTTATCTCGAAATCAAGCACAGAAAGGTCAAAACTGTTCTAAACCCATAATATCGTCATCCAGCCATAACCAAACCTAAGGGTTCCATAACCCACACAACTGCACCATAGCGTCTCCTGATTACTAATTGGTTTTAATTTTGCGAAGATTAATTTTGAATCTTATTTTAGTTGGAACAAAACAGTCACTGTATTTTCAAACATTACTTCGAATATGGTTCTTAATTTAGTATAGGGAAACGCCTAAATGCTCACAATCTATTTTTGCTGTCTTCCAAAATCTTAGAGCAACACTTAAAAAACAGCTTGCTGAGTGTTGAGTTAAATGAGTTAAAAATAAGGCAAGGTATACTTTCGTATATCTGTCTGCTCTACCTATTAAATTACCTACATGTTCCATGCATCACCCGGCACATTAAAAAAACGAAGCGGTTGAACTTAGCATAAAAGAAACCTAACTGAAAGAACTCATGAACCCAACATTTTGATTTTGTAATATTAATGAATAAGGCATAAAATTAACGATGTCAAAGTTTAGGTGTGTGGATATCAAAATCATATACTTTAGAAGAATTTTTTCTGGAAAATTGAAACAAGGCTTGTCAACACGAGGGTGGTATAATTTTACGCGAATGGACGGCAAGTTAGACGTGGAAAGCCAAAGGTGTAGTACGGGCAATGTAAAGGAAATATAATTACATCTCTGTATGAAATCATTTGGAAAGCCAGTCCTATTTTCAGATTAAGCAAACTTAACGTTGATTTAGTTACATTAGTCAAATCGAACCAAAGTTTAGTAACTTATTCTGTCATTACAAAACACATCATGTCCGACCCCGTTGCAATGCAAGTAATTAATGCTTTTATGCAGGCCCGTAAAAAGTCCCCCCCCCCCTCCCCGGTGACAAAATTGTCGACCCCTGACAATACTTCCCGCCCCTCGTTGCTCTGCGCTAGTTACGGCCCTGCTTTTATGCTTTACTCTAGTTAATAAACTGCCATCCAAAAAGTTCTGTGGATTGTCAACAGTGGATATTGTGTTCAGTGCATGTCATTGCTTGAAATCTGCAACTGGGAGTTTTAGCTTCAAACAGTAGTCAGTAAGATGAGGCAGTCAACAGACTGATGTTTACAGTTATCAATGATGATATTTAACAATAACCTGGTAACATTAAACCAACACGAACTATTGACCTTTACTTTCATTTTACTTATACACCATTCATCATATACATGTATAGCTCGTAATTACACTTATACAGATATGATTTGAATAATATGCACGAAGCTATCAGGCGCCACAAATCAGACAATAGACAGATAAAAAAAACCGTTAGACCTATATATTATTCAAATTGGTAATGTAATGCATAAACTGATACATACGGTCAAAGTATTTACAAAGAAACCATTGTTAAAAGTGGGATTTACGTTTGCAAAACAAACTTCAAAATATGAACAAATCGTAAAAGGAATCATGGACGCTTGCTAAAATTAGTTTCGGTGCATTGGTCATAATCTGGCACGTAACAGAGTCAGACTCATTTCCCGATTCTCTTTAGTTTCATGCGATTCAGATTAGAATACCACACCGAGTTTTGTCCTCCTACATGTAGATCTAATAGGGTAATAGCATGTATGTATTGTGTATCTATATGGTACCATCCGTTAACATTTATGTCATCGGAAATGCCAGGACTGATACTTGAGATGAAGAAAGTCAGGTTGAAAGACGTAATTATTCAATTCCACATTTCCACCAAATGTTTGTGTTGGTTTATTTTCCAGCCAAATATTACCAACACGAAACAGGTGAACCCGTTTTCCTTACCAATACGTCATACAAAGTACTGTAGTTATAAAGCAAAAGCTAATATAAATATATGTATTGTGGTATAAATCATGAAAATTAATTTAAAGACTAAGGCTAGATATATTAGCATTCTTACCAAGAAATAAATGTAATGTAGTCGAGGTTATCAAAATGATACAAAAAGAAACGAAATATAGATCTGTATTTTAATCAGATCGATAGCGTTCGCTAAAGTTCTTGAAAAATGGAAATCTCTAGGACAGATTTGTCCAAGATATTTCATTTAATTTCAATACGATGTAATTGAAAAAATGTTCTTCACCTACCGGACAAGGACCCCTAAAGCGCCAAAAGCTTCTTCGACCTGCTATGGATAACTCAGTAATTTTTTTTTAACGCTTAAGAATGTTGTTTCTAATAGTGATTATAAGAATGAATGTATGCTAAAATAATGTTCACGTGTATATGGAAAAACGTATACTTGTGCCAGACTTTCTGGAAAATTCAAATAAATACCCTTTCATCATGAATATCAGGTTCCTTAAAATTTTGTTATCGAGGATTATTAGGGTATTGGTAATATAGACATTTTCTTAACTGTTTGGTAATTATGTTTTTGTAGCTTTATTTATTTAAATTCTACAGAAAACACAGAACATGTGCAGACGACAGATTTGGCATCAGGCAGACGTCAGAGTAAAGGTACGCGAAGTGAGGTATGTACAGAAATAAACGGGCTATTTCAGTTCAAGGTAAACAACTTTCTTTTCTGTTGTTTGTCAAACTTGGATGTTCCCCTGGATTTTATTGTAGCATTACCTTAAAATTTACCATAATACATACATCTGTTTATCCTTTCATGCTGCATTCAATAAGAATAGATTAGCAAATAATGGGTTATTATCAGCTGCACTGGCCTATCCGGGACTATTGTAAGGGTGTATGAAGGGACGGCCATAACAAAATTTGGCCGGTTTTTAAGCTTATTTTATTACATTTTTTCGATGACTCAAACAAACCAAAATCTACAAAATCTATTGAAAAGTAGAACTGCTCAGATACTGTGACTTCATTGAGTCGAGAGAATATAGCCACCCAGATTTAAAAAAAAGAAGATATAAATCTGATAATGATTCTTTAATGAAGCTCGTACAAAGAAGTCAGTAGCATTATATAGTACTGGAATATCTTGTTACAATTATTATTCTTTGCCAACTAAGAGATTTGAGAGCGATGATAAA